ACTGGATCCACGTACGCAAACAGCGGCGGAACAGTTTATAATGTCGGCGCTATTATAGCACACAGTTTCTACAATGTCAGCTCCAATGAAAACGATGTCGCGATACTCCGTTCTTTATCCACGATCTTGTATAACTCGTTGGTCCAACCTGCGACAATCGCGGGCGCGTCGTATTACCTTGCTGACCATCAGCCGGTTTGGGCCGTTGGATGGGGATCTACTGCAGTAAGCATACCTGTAACAATTAATTAGTTAAGGTTATTAAGATTATATTATGAGAAGTGGAGCATAGCGGATTAACCATTCGGGTTGGATCGCATATCTGGGGAAGTAATCTCCACCTTACAGTAGATCAGAGTAAAATAACACTACGAATACTAAGAATACTACCATTTTTTGTGGAGTTTTGTTTCTGTCGGTGAGTAAGGTTGAGGGCTCCACGGGGTAGGGGATTGTCATACATGTCATTTGGACACGTCAGGATAGGTAACGGCGCGAGTGATCTCAAACGTCTATAAGCTATCTAGCCGCTTTCCATCAGGTGGGCCATACGCTTGTTTGTCGCATGTCACAACATAAAAACATATTCAAATCGGTAGGCTGTTAAAATATTCAAAAAAAAATCCAACGAAAATAGGTTCAAAACAAGGTTCTAACGAGGTAAAATACGTTTTTAAGAAAACGTCTTTTTCTTAGACTGAGCTTCGCGGCTTTTGCTGTTAAAAAAGTTAGACTCTTAAAAGTTAGTTCTTACCTGATGTGGAAATGGCAAGATTGGTTTACTTTGGCACGGTAATATTATCTATATAGTATTGTGACTCGGCCATGTCCATGAAATAACTGCCTATGGCCGAGCGGGGCGTAGACACGCGGTAGGGCTGCCCGCCTACAGTATTTTAATTTCATCTCCATAATTGAGTTTCTTTCTAGTTTTGTGATTGTGAATGAATTAGGAAGTGTTCAATAAAATACATGTTAATTTTAGGTAATATTAAATTTAATAAAAAAAAATGATTTGAGACAGAAAAATATTTACGCCTCGACTGAGACGTACGAAAAGCTTAAATACATAATTTAATACATTATTAAATTTAATAGTATAATGAATACGCATTCGTATTAAAAGTTTAATTAAAAATACTTTAGGGAAACATTGGCAAGGAGCAGAAAAGGGAATAGCTTTAACTTGGTTATATATACCTGCAGCTACTTTACAATTGATATGTTTGTTTTATTGGGTGCGTTATTGAAGAGTTTAAGAAACCAAAATCGGCACAATATCGACTATTGCTCCTTGCCATATTAAATTATGCAGGTATCTACTTAATTCAATTAAATATTCACAATACAAATCGCACGTTTAAGTACGGCTAACTGCTTAAAAAACAATTCACACCGTTCAGTCGTCGCTGCGGCGCATTCGCGACTGGATGCCCACCAGGTGCCGCGCGAACCCGAGTGGTGTAGGTATGACACGCTTTCCGACCGTTTGTATGAAGATAGAATACTGTACAGATAATATTACCGTGTCTTTGGTTACTTTTATAGCGTTATGACATATGGCTTTTGGTGTGGGGCTCAGCTGATAATATCGATAGTAGTTTCATACTGCAAAAGAGAGCTGTTCGTGCCATATAAAACTAGAAGGCATGAGATTCTCTTAGAAAGTTGTGCTTGTAACAGCCTAGACTAAATAATATATACTTTCACAAGTGCTTGTAACCTGAAGTGCCTGGACTGAATAATAATATATAATAAAAAATATAATTATCGCATTAATTATCACTGGCACTTATCACTAATCTATAAGGAACTGAAGGCCTTAAAGTACAGATAGATTCCATTGTAATTTTAGCGAATGATTTGTAATATTTTAAGGTATAATTAGTTGTGATTTTTTTTTTATTTGCAGTCGGGTGGCTCAGCATCGGAAAACCTATTACAAGTTCAAATATGGTCAGTGAACCAAATCATTTGTAAGAATCGGTATTTGGAGGTGAAGCGTGCTGTCACGGACAATATGCTGTGTTCTGGGTGGTTAGACGTCGGCGGGCGTGACCAGTGCCAGGGTGACTCTGGTGGCCCTCTCTACCACAACGGCATCGTGGTTGGAGTCTGCTCGTGGGGCCTTAGCTGTGCTATGCCCCGATACCCCGGGGTTAATGCACGAGTCTCACGCTACACCGCTTGGATACAGAGCAATGCCTGATATTGTCTGCAATTGCCCTATTTTTTTATATAAAAATAAATGATTATGTATATTGATAACATAAATTCCTTATCAAAATTGTTAAAGTGTTAGGCACGGTGTTGAAGTTCGGGATTTATGAAACAAAAAATATTTTTATTTAACTTGCGCACTCGACATAATATTTTGTCCTGCCCGAGAAAAGGTGTGTGTCACCTACCGTGTCCAGTTATGAATCTAAGCCATTCAAGAACCAACTTGAATGCACACATGAAATTTCATAGAAATCGATCGAGTCGGTTAGAACGAGTTCACTTACATGCGCTCGAACAGAAGTAATAATAGAATTAAAAATTAAACGGGGTCTCCATACAATGAATGTGTTTTTTACTAATTAATACTAATTCAATAAATTTATTTATGGTGATTGAACTTTTGACGTTCTTCAGTATTGCTCTTCGGTTTTCGGTAAACGTGTTTTCACAGATCCCACAGCGTAAATTTTTTTAATTGATAGTCATAGAAGCGAATTTTCTCATTCTATTGATTATCGCAAAGAAAGTGACAGAATCAACTATGATCAAACTTAAAAATTAATTAAAGTCATTGAGCGCGGCTGTATGAGTTATAGTTCGGACAGAAAATATAAATAAAATAAAAATATTTAATAACATACCAGAGGACATAAAAATGTTTCCACTAAGATTATTTAAGTCTCGGTTACAAAAATGGTTTGAGGACAAATGTTTTTATTCAGAGGGAGATTTTTTAGCAGAAAAGCATAATTAATTTTGTAATTATCTTTGGTACTTTACGCGATTTTCAATTTTATAAATATTGACTATTAAGTATAAGAAATGAACATTTGGATTTGATATGAATATGTAATATATTTATGTTTTTATTTGTAATATATTGTTTGAATTTTTTTTTTAATTAATAATATGATGTAGATTTATAAAGGACATAATTTTGAATTTTATGGGGTTATTTGAATTGTTTTGTTTTATTTTATATGTTTTCTGTATTGCATGCTGTGTGACAGTAAAATATAAATAATAATAATAATAATAAATATTTCCAACACTGACACCAATTAGCCTAGCCCCAAAGTAAGCACTGTAAGGCTTGTGTTATGGGATACTAAGGTAACGGATAGAATACATATACAGTACATATATAAGTATATTTATATAGAAATACATATTAAACATCCATGACTGGAGTACAAATGCTCGTATTCATCACACAAACATCTGCCCCCACCGGGATTCAAACTCGGGACCTCTCGAGTTGGCGACACCATGAAACCCGGCGTACAAACCACTCGACCACGGAGGTCGTCAATATGTGATACTTTATTTAAACTGAATGTGTAAAATAACATCAAACACAAATGTAACATCTTAGGTACACCATATTAAATGCAAATAAAGACTTCTGACTTCTGAGAAAAACATGGATATAATTGACTTTAATTAGTAGCCGGCCAATTTCAATCAATAACAATCTTAATCAATTATCTTTATCTATTGACGTATGCTCGATAATCAACATATTCGTTAATTTGGATTGATTTAAACAGAATGGATACGTAATCAAGACAATCGATTAATATAAAAAATAAATTTGGACGTTTTCTTATCTGCACGTGTCATTTCTTACTAATTGAGGTGGACATAGATAATTCATTGGCAAAAAAACACCTTTAGCTGTGCCTTTAGTTTTGTGTTGCAACTAACCAATGACTACCCATCGTTATTTTAAATTTACAGCAAAATATCTTCTATTTTTATTATTTCTAAAGCATTCTCGAACACGAGGCGTAAGGCACATGTCAAAGAAGAAACAAATCATGTCAAGGTTAATACTAAAATGCCATAATGCTCTAGAACGCGGTACTGATCTGAAATACATTGACACTACAATGGATTAAGGGACACAGTGGATCAATTGGTAACGATGCAGCCGATGAACTTGCGAGAAGATGTTCAAATACAAAGCGCATCGGACCTGAACCTATTGTACCCATTCCCTTCAATCAGCTGAGAAGCTGGTTAAGGGACTACATAGAAATGCAAGCGACGGAGTGGTGACCCTTGACACCAGGATGTAGGCAATCCAAGGAGGCTATGCCATCTCTAGACACAAAGCTTACCAGGCGCCTTCTACGCCTGGACAGGAATAGCCTGAGACTGGTGACGGGGACCATCACCGGATACTGCTCACTGAACAAACTCTTTAACACTCCAGGTATCACTGATAGTCCCCTATGCAGAGCATGCATGGAGGCCGAAGAAACGGGGACACATGTGCTCTCATGAGTGCACAGGTGTCGCCCAGATCCGCGGAGAGATTTGGTTCACTGGAATCCCTCGCGGATGCCCTGAGTAGACTGGGAAGACTGATCTACTAGGTGGGCTGGTTGGGGTAATCGGCCGCTATGGCTTACGTACAATGGTCCACTTAAGTACTAAGTGCGGAAACCATATCCTCTAACATAGAACAAATTAGAAGGTACATGTCTCTATCTAAAATAAACAACCACATAACTCTAAGTGACTACGAAGCGTTTTTCTATTTTGCCATTTTTGTCGAAAGTATTGCATGCTATTGTCTTTCGTGAAATTCATCATCATTAACAGCCTATTCATGTCCCCACTGCAGGGGTACATGCCTTCCTTATGGATGGAATGGGGAGATTGGGCCATGTCCCACCACGCGGGCCCAGTGTGAACTGGTGGGTGCTAACGACTGCAGATGGAACGGCCTAACGTGCTTTCCAAAACACGGAGAGGTCGATATAGTAAATTTTTGGTCACACATCCAATGATAGACCTCTGCGAAAGTTACTTGACTTCAACGATCGCAGCCGAAAGCGGTAAACACTTGCGCCATCGATTTCCTCAATAATATGTTTTTTTATTTAACAAAACCACGTCTTAAATCCAATCCAACCAATCTGGTTTACTTCTTTTTGCACCGCTTTTTAAGCTGAACTAATAACTAGCTACTTCAGTTCGCCATTTGTACTATGTATATCTGTGCAATGAAGATTAAATTATGGATATAGGTAATAGAAAAATAAGTTTTATAAATTAAATTAAAATCTTAATGGCCTCAATTATTTTTTTGTTTAATAATGAAAATAGCTTAATGAGAGGAGGCAGATTACAAAAAAATATCGTTATCTTCTTTTCAATGCCATCCTATTATTATTATATTCGTTTTTCTCATACTTGTAAAACTTAAAAGGACACTTGAGACGCAAGCATACTGGACAGAAGTTGATGATTATTAATAATAACTTATTAGTTTATTAGAACGAAATTAGTTGATTAAACAACATTTATTTAATTACAGAATCTAATTCGCCTATAATGGAGGTCCCTTATATAAAAAAAAGTTGTATTCAAAAGTTAAAAGTTTGTATTTTATACAAAATTAATATACATATTGTGCTGGTTTAAACATATTTATTTCATTTCTAAATAAAATATCCATTCAGCTTGACAACTGTACCGATTGGAACAATTGTACCTATTTACTAAATTAAGTAGGTAAGTGGTTTTTATTCTCAACTAATTATTACAGGCACCGTGGTTCCAAAACTGACGACCGAGGCGGATTTGTAAACGATCCGGCACGAAAAGAATAGTGTAAAATCGAATAAATCAAAAGTGTTTTATTAATATAATCAAACATAAAATCGTAAACACTATTTACCTACTTATTTCAAATTATTGGTGTACGTGACAACAACATTATCGCACCCTCAATGGATAAAAGGCGTCAGCCAAAAACTTGATTTTACAGTACGGCGAAAAATCTGAATTTATGGACATAGTAACATTATTATCAGTCGTAGAATATAATAAAATTCTTATGTCATTAAAAAGAAATAGTAATAATAAAATATTATGCTATTTTGCATAATGTACTAAAAATATAGGATTCTGAGGATCAAAAATTATGCCAGAATTTCCAACAAAACTAAATATGTTTCAAAAGTACACACATCAAAAAAAGTTTGAGAATACTTGCAAAAGCTGATATATTTTCAAAATTTAACTTAATCAAGAGAAAATGTTTACGTTTAGGGAGCAAATCCTCAACCTCAGGTGCGAAAAAGTGCTACGTGTTCGACAACCCCGTCATCGTGTGTTTCGTCGACTACAGCATAGCTTTCGATTGCGTCGACTGGGAATACTTATGGGATGTCTTGACAGAAATGGGTGTACCGCGCCATCTAACAGCTCTGTTCTAATTTCTGTATTACAACAACGAAGGCTAGGTCAGAATCAACGGAACAACGTCAAATCCGTTCAGTTTCAAGAAGGGCGTCGGACTAGGCTGCATCTTCTCACCCATCCTTTTCAATATATACGATGAATACATCATACAACGTACGTGCGATGAATGGGAGAGTGGCGTTACTATAGGAGGCCACAAGTTCTCCAATTTTAGATATGCAGATGACACTACTCTTCGACTGAAGTGCGACGTAGAATCGGAATGGCAAAAGTTCTATGTCAAAACTGGATCAAATTTGAAAGAACTCCCCGGCCACCCTGTATAGCAGCTTAGATATCATTCTTATTTTTCTACGACGCCGAAGTATCCAGTCTTATGTTTCGGTTTTCGATCAAAAAATCTATAGATAACGGGTTGCATAAAAAAATAAAGCTAAAAACTGTCCGCGTATGTTTAAACTTATGCAGCTACATTCGATTCCCAATTAATAAAGATAAATGTTTTAAAACAGTAAAGTTGAAACTAATAACAAATATCTCACAAAATAATAAGTTTACAAATAACAAAAAGTTATATCGCACATACAACCTTTTATTTTATAAACTTAACTCTGGTTCTTTGTATACATTATATGCGATACTTGGGAAAAAACGATAAAGGTGAAAAAAGGAAAATGTGATATAAACCTTATGACCCACAAAATAAAACATCTTTACCAGTCATTGGCCAGCGAGTTACTACGTATAGTATTAAACCGAACCAATTTAAAATAAGATCTCACGCCATAAGTGAGGCTATATTTACCCAAACAGATTTTACGCGCTGACCCGTTATCTATAGAATTGTTGATCGAAGGTTTCGGTACTCTTTAGTGGGTGCTTTTTAGTGGCAGATGGCATTAAAAGTTCTAATACAAATCAATTTAAAGATCATTAGAAGTAAAAAATCATGCCGCTGTTATTTTTTTTCAGTTACTAAGTAAGTGCATTTTTGCTATAAATGTTACTTAGTTGATACAACAAATAAACACGTCATTTCTTGTGTTGAAACGTCAAATAAAAAAAAGATTTAATATTAAAAAGATTTAGCAATATTATATACTTATAATATGATGATAGTATTGACAATTCAACGTTATATAACTTTTGCCTTTTTTCTACTGGAGGATATAAATAATAATGATTTATAGCAAGCAAATGTTTATCTTATCAACAATTCCGTTGAAGATGAAACTATATGTATGCATAACAAAATAACAGGTACATTCTTGTTTGGGAAACGCACAAATTTATATGCCATAATCCTTTGATTGATTGAGGAGTTCGATAGCGCAATTGGTTAGCGCGTTCGGCTGCGATCGTTGAAGTTAAGCAACTTTTGCAGTGGTCGGTCATTGGATGGGTGACCAAAAATTTACTATTTCGAGCTCCTCCGTGCTTCGGAAGGCATGTTAAGCCGTTAAGTTGGTCCCGGTTGCATCTGCAGTCGTTAGCACCCACCAATCCACACTGGACCCGAGTGGTGGGTCATGGCCCAATCTCCCTATTCGATCCATAGGGAAGGCCTGTGCCCCAGCAGTGGCTACATTAATAGGCTGATGATGATGATGATGGATGATGATAGCGCAGTGGTGAAGGATGTGTGAACAAAAATATACTATCTCGAGCTCTTCCGTGCTTCGGACGGAAGGCAATTCTGCAAAATAAACAATGAATGACGACGTATACAGCAAACCTTTTTACCGCGCAGAATTGAACCGAATGATTCGTCCGAATATTCTGTTCGGTATATTCTGGAGCAAATATTTGGCCGAAAATTCGTATAAGGTTGCACGTACATTCGGCGCATCACTAATTTTTAACTATTTTTGACTTTCGACCCCCTCTTCTTCCTCTCTTCCCTTACCCCCCTGACCCCCATTAGCACCAGACCACTCTGACCCCCGAGCTTAAAATTAATTTCATAAATGAAAATATACGAGTATAATAATTTATTGTATTAATATTACGTCTAATAGACATACTACTGAGTGTTTCCACAATCAGGTGGTAGTAGATCATTCTAATTTATTTTTAAGTAGTAAGAACCAAGTAGTCTTATACCTAATTATTAATGAACGAAGAATAAGTTTGGATAGTTACTCCATGTTTTGTCTCTGTCCATCGAATGACAAATACCATATGAGTGACATGAACAAAACACGGCGTAACTAGTCGAAGCTCTTCTTCTTCTTCTTGCTACGGGCGTTTCCGCAACTCGACGTCCTTATGGCGCCTGTTTTGCGTGAGGATAGTGTATGGCCGGAATCACTCCAGCCAGCCCAGTTCCGCCAAGAACGCCTCCAATGCCTTCACATTGGTGACTGCCTCTTGAAGGTTTCCCGGTGCGCCGAGGTATTTCGCCCGGTATTCGGCCACTCCGTTGCATTCCAGCAGAACGTAAGTAGCTGTTTCTTCTGCCTCCATGCATCCTCTCCATAGGAGGCTGTCCGTGGCACCTAAGTTGAAAAGATAAGTTATTTTAACAGATACAGTAATAGGACCTGTTACCATGCGCAATGTAGGTTTGCTTAGCTGTAGGAGAGTTTTGGAGAAGGCAGCGTTCACCCGTGGCAAAGCGTGCTTGGTCTGCCTGCACGTCTCCAGGTAGTCGAAGCTCATTCCTTGTTTATTAATATGAGGGTTAAAGTGCGTTTTTCCCATATATAAAAGGAAATAGACAATAAATTTAAAATGCATTCTTCATTAAAAAATATTCATAATTTACAGTGGAAATGTATCTCTCAAATAGTTCTACAAAAAAGTCTGCTGCAGCATATATATATATATATATTTATATATATTTTAAATGTGTAATCCATTGTCGCTAAAATAGTGAATCAAAAATTAAATGTTATTTGATATCCATTTATCTATATACTAAAAATATAAAATTAGTCAATTAATTAATTAATTACTACAAATATAAAAAAATCTTAAAATAATGTAATGGAAGGAAGGGACTCAGAAATATCTCTGAAGTCATTTTTCAACTTGATTTGACTAGAGAAAAAACAGCCCTTGCTGAGTTTCTTGCCGATTCTTTTCAGTGCAAGGTCTCCCGTCGTAGTTTTGCGAACCGATGGCGTAGCTTCTTGACCTTCACAAGTGCTTGTAACAGCCTAGATTAATTAAATTGTTTTTGAGTTTAAGTTTCATTTCGGTGTTTATTTTTGTTATTAATGTAAGAGATCCCTCAAATGCAACGAATATTTAGAACTACTTCTTTTCATTTTCAAATACGTGATTTTGGCTTGTCAGGTAAAATGATTTATTTTAATTATCTATCTGTATTTTTTAATTTATCCATAAAATTATCATTACGCAGGATGTACCTTGATACGCGTGATTATTTTAGAATTAAATGAGATAAGATTCAACTATAAAAGCAACCAGCCATGTACTTTTATTATCCGCAGAAATATTATTTTCAAAAATGCGCGTTCTGATTGCTCTGGTCTTGGCCCTAACGGTGGTCGCAGGTAAATATTTTTTACATTGTCATATAAAGTAAAACGCTTTTTATATAATTTGCAACAACGCAAAATTGTGTGATATTTATCACATTTAGATCTGTAAATTAAATTATTGCATTTGAAAATGTTAACTAGAGTTTTTAATTTAATTCAACATTAAAGAAGTGAACGGAAACTTAGATCTGTTTATGATTGTTGACATAGTATGTTCCGACTCTAAATGTTGTTGATTTTACTTATGATAATATTTTTTGTGGTTTTGTTTTTTTTTATGATTATTTTTGTTATTAATGTTAAACGGGGTCAATAAAAAAAATATATTAGTAAAAATTGTGTTGAATGACACACTTCGAAGCAGTTACAAATAATGTTTATGTTCATGATTGCACACATTCGGGATACTAACTTTTGCTCATATTATTTCACGAAGCAACTTATTATATTAATTTAATTTTGTTTGTTATACCACTTTTTCGTAGTGACTAATACATAACCTTTATAGATAAAATTTGGCATGGATATACATATCTTGTACTAAAAGAGTGTCTGAGCTTAGCTATGGACGACGGACAGACGGGCGGACATAGCGAAACTATAAGGGTTCCTTGTTGACTACCGAACCCAAAATACAGTATACCTACTTCACTAGTACAGAACATAAATACTCTAAAACGGAACGAAAGAATAAAACAAACTTAAGTTACCATCGTACAGGTTACAGGATGTTCTGGATCATTTATGGGTCAAGTTGTACATATAACTACTTATAATCAGGATTAGCCTCTAAATGAATTTAATACTTTAAAAAAAATTGCTTGCTAAAGAAAATATATTATACCTACTGTTGAGGAGCAGTTGAGGAGCTCGATGGCGCAAGTGGTTAGCGCGTTCCGCTGCGATCGTTGAATTTAAGCAATTTTCGCAGTGGTCGGTCATTGGATGGGTGACCGAAAATTTACTATCTCGAGCTCCTCCGTATATCGGAAGGCCCGTTAAGCCGTTGGTCCCGGCTGCATCTGCAGTCGTTAGCACCCACCAACCCTCACTGGGCCCGCGTGGTGGGTCATGGCCTAATCTCCCTATTCCATCCATATGGAAAGCCTGTGCCCCACCAGTGGGGACATTAATAGGCTGATGATGATGATGATGACGTACTGTCCAAATATTTGAACTAGCTGTGCTCCGCGGTGTTACCCGCGGTTTATTAGGGATATTTTCCCGCAGTAAAACGTAGCCTATGTGTTAATCCAGGGTGTCAGCTAACTCCATACCAAATTTTCTTAAAATCGCTCCAGCCGTTTAGACGTGAAGAAGTTACAAACATACACACTCACAAACTCACAAACTTTCGCTTTATAATATTAATTTATAATTAGTGTGATAATAAAACGGTCTAGTAGTAATTTTACCTTCTAATTATTTTCATAGTTATATAAGAATATTGAAGAGAATCTTGCAATTATAATTATTTTTCATATACCTACACAATTAGTTTGAAAATTGTTTACTGGATATTTCGGGCTTTTGTATAATTATTTTTATTTTTCATTATGTGATGGAAGTTTATCTCAATACATGTTTATAAGTTTGGAGTCATCTTTCAATTGACTAAAATTTATGAAATAAAGCAGGGAGAAAAAAACAGCCCTTGCCGGTTGTTCTTAGTATAGTTTTTCCGCCGTAGATTTGCGAACCAATAGCGTACCTTTTGACTTTCACGTGTACCAGGCACCCAGAAAGTTTTGCGAAAAAAAGATTTTATGTGGAAGACACTGGCCACTTGTACTTATTTTGAAACTTCCTGGATTCCACACCAGTCAGAGTCTTGGGACGCCCTCCTTATAGTCCTAATTTGGCTCCGTGTGACTTCTTTTTATTCCCTAAAATAAAAAAACAGCTCAAAGGGATACAGTTTTCATCGCCAGAAGATGCGCTAGCAGCGTTTGAGAAGGCCGTAGAAGAGGTGTCTACGGATGACTGGAAAAAATGATTTGAAAATAGGTTCAAACGCATGAAACTTTGTATAGAGGCTGGTGGAGAGTTCTTTGACAAGATTTAATCCATTTTTTTTCATAGAAGTTAGTTTTTTACTTTCCCAAAACTTTCCAAGCGTCCCACGTACTTGTCACGTCTTATAAGTTTTGAATTAGAATTTGACAAATTTTCTTTAGAACGTTCTATTGACGCTGAATGTTTTCGTACTCTATACCAATAGTTTTTTTACAATCCGAATTATAGAATGATCAACGTGATATTTTTTCAGCTGTCCCGAGAAACCCGCAGAGAATTGTCGGAGGCTCAGTTACGACCATCAATAACTACCCTGAGATAGTCTCCTTGAAGTTCTCCTGGTCCGGCACAGGCCACCGCCAAGCTTGTGGAGGAACACTTATAAACAATAGATCAGTCCTCACTGCTGCTCACTGTACTATGTATGTTTTGTTTCATTGATTTTATTATTTTTGAGTATTTTAATTGTGTTATGGGATAAAAATTATAGAGATTTTTTTTTACAGTGGTGATCCACCTCAATTATGGCAAAGCCGTTTGGGATCCACAAACGCTAATTCCGGAGGTGTAGTTCGTAATTCTGCCTTGATCATAAATCACCCGAACTACAATAGAGCCACTCTAGATAACGATATAGCTATCATCCGTCTGGCTAGCACCGTTGGTTTCACAAACGTTATCCAACCTGGAAGCATTGCTGGCAGTAACTACAACCTTGGAGATAATCAAGTAGTTTGGGCTGCTGGCTGGGGAGCTACTTCTGTGAGTTATAGTATTATAAAATTGTTTAACTACATACACTACTACAGATTCATGTGTGAATTTGTTATATTAAATACTAGCTTTTGCCCGCGACTTCATCCGCGTTATCGTCGTTTTTCGTAAAAAAGTAGCATATGTCCTTCCTCAGGGTTCCGTGGTTTTGATGTGACAGACAGATTAACTTTCGTATTTTAGTAGGGAAATATAATACTGTTAAAAATATCGCAATAAGGAACCGCAGAATATTATTATTATCACTGTGCCCCGAGACCATCAGCGTGTAACTCCTTGTATGTTATTATGTTAATGTATTGGTAATATTGTTTAGATCGCTTTCACATGAGTCTTAAGTACATAAAGAATGAAAATACTTCAGCGCAAAGCTTCCGGGTAGACTACGTTGAAATTTGTCCCGTCCGGAACGTGAACATAAAAAATTCTAGGACTGCTAACCCGGGAAAGACCGACATAACTGACCATGTGAAAAACAACTGACACCGAGATCTACTCCAACAACACGAAAGGTCTGCCTTATTTTTTGTCATTGCATAACACACCGATACTGGGAATTGCGTTCTTTTAAATTGGAATGGAAAATTATTTGGTATTATGGGAATTCTGGGAATAAAGATGGTTTCTCCTGCACCGCAACCTATTAAAATTTGAGCCTCGATTACATTTTGTTGCAACTGGGTTACTTTAAGCCGAGTTCCATTGCAAATTTGTGGTGGTCTTAAATTTCGGAGCAGAATAATCGGAATGCCAATTTTTAAACAAATTTCATGAGAAGGAAGTACGGGCATATTTAAAGAATTTAAAAATTCTATCGGGTAATTAGTGGCTTCTTGTACATCGGCCATTCTATTTATTGAACTATAAACTTTGCTTTCCCCCTGGATATTCGACAGTATTTTATTATTAATCTCAGATGCCTGGTCATTGCGAGGAGTTAAAATGGACCTTTCGCATAGCCAAGAATTGTTCTTATTTAATATATTTGTTACGTCACCGTAAACTGACGATGTAAGATGTTGTTGGGATTGCACTATACAACATAACTCAGGCGTCAGAATAAGTTTTCCTTGGTGTAGCAGTGGATAGGTATCTTTGGTGAAGGTATTTTCTTTAATAATATATCAGAAAATTCACGATCATCCGGGTTATCTACAGTTCTCACTCGCATGTTTATAGTCAAATGCACCGATTGTATATCACGCCACAAATAAGAGCTTTTCAGGCAAGCCCTAACCTCAGCAGCTCGGGTTCCCCGTGGTATTACCGTTAAGGTTTGTCGGAAATCACCACAAAATAAAACTGTGATACCGCCCATGGGTCGATCATTTTGTCTTATATCTCTTAAAGTTCTGTCTACCGCTTCTACTGCTTTTCGATGGGCCATCGTACATTCATCCTATATGATTAAATTACACTTTGAACGAATATTTTAACGAATACTTTAGCTACCTTACACATAAAATCTAAGTGACTATTTGAACTAAAATATTCTTATAGAATTATAACCAGAAATATATACAACTCACAACAAAAAAGAAATGAAAATAAAGCTGAAACGCGTGTGCAATACTATCTACCTATACCTCCTTCACTTAAAAATAAATACTTATAACTACTTTAATTAATAAAAGTACCTACGCTTAATAATTTTTAATTTGAACGAATATTTAAACACTACCAAAACAACTAATACCTGTTTTACAAAATAACAACAAAAGAAATTCAAATAAACTATTTAAAGACTAAAAGTCGCGCTGATAAGCACGGTTTCGGTCTCCCAGGCGGGGGAGCAGATGAGAAATCCTCATGGATCCCCTACAGCCGGCTGCAAGGTTATGTCAGACTCGTACTGACTAAAAAACACCCGTAGGGGCTGCCTCTGGCCGGGAAGGCCTCTAAGGCTTCATCGGAAGCGATCGTCCCCCAGGGGGGGACCGACGCAGAAAACAGATTTAGACAGCTCGCTCTCGGACCTTTGATACCCTACCGCTGCCGCGACCCGTGTCGAACGCGGCAACCATTACACAAAAATAATCCTTATAGCATGATTCAGTATTCACGTGCGACGGCGCAATGGCTTATTTCATGTATAAGTTTGGTGTTTCTATACCGAGTATTATAAACGTAAGAGTAAACAAATATGATCAGAATGCTCCGAACTGCTAAGCTATCGGGAGTTACACGTGTTATTGTGAGTCAACCATAAAAGATAGACATATGCTGTTGCGGGATATTTTTTAGACAATTTTATGTAGAATATTACCGTCATACATGATTTCTATGTAACTTTAATCATTAAGGCTGCACACGCGACGGAAGCTTAAAAAATGGAGTAACTTCTCCCGTTTTCCCAACATTTCTCTTCACTACTCTGCTCCTATTGATTGTAGCGTGATGAAAAGTATACTATAACCTGCCCAGGAGTATGAAGAATAATTGTACCAAGTTTCGTTAAAATCCGTCGAGTAGTTTTTGTTTCTATAAGGAACAAACACACAGACAGACAGACAGACAGACAAAAATTTTACTGATTGCATTTTTGGCATCAGTATCGATCACTTATCACCCCCTGATAGTTATTTTGAAAATATATTTCATGTACAGAATTGACATCTCTACAGATTTATTATAAGTATATAGATAGAAGATAAGCACGGTTTCTCAATATCAATTATTTTCTGTCAATAAGGTCGAACGCTCTGAACGCATCGACAGCCAAATATTGAATGAAGCTCGCTTTCTTTTTTTTTTTGTTTCTTCCCAGGCGGGGGAGGGGGTGTGAAATCCTCATGGATACCCTACAGCCGGCTGTAGAGTTATGTCAGACTCTTACTGACTAAAACACACCCGTGGGGGGTGCCTATGGCCTTAGGGGCCTTACAGGCTTCATCTGATGCGATCAACCCCTGAGAAGGGGATGATGCAGCGCTGCCTTAGTAAATACTACTGCTAGTGCGCTTAGAGGACGGATGCACCCTGATGTGCATCCGTATCGGTTTGGGACTGAGTGGCTGAAGGTCTCTCAGGATCGGGGGGGCGGGGAAGCTCGCTTTCGGACCTCCCGCCTTTTTATACCTTACCGCGCCGTCACGACCCGTGTCGAGCGCGGCAGCCGTTACACAAAAATAATCCTTAAAGCATGATTCAGTATTCACGTACGACGGCGCGATGGCTTATTTCATGTATAAGTTTGGTGTTTCTATACCGATTTCTATGATTTTTTTTTATTGAATAGGTAATAATGTTAACTTTTTTAAATTAGGGATGAGTGAGAGTATTATAAACGTAAGAGTAAACAAATATAATCAGAATGCTCCGAACTGCTAAGCTATCAGGAGTTACACGTGTTATTGTGAGTCAACCATAAAAGATAGATATATGCTGTTGCGGGATATTTTTTAGACAATTTTATGTAGAATATTTCCGTCATACATGATTTCTATGTAACTTTAACCATTAAGGCTCCACACGCGACGGAAGCTTAAAAAATGGAGTAACTTCTCCCGTTTTCCCAACATTTCCCTTCACTACTCTGCTCCTATTGATTGTAGCGTGATGAAAAGTATACTATAACCTGCCCAGGAGTATGAAGAATAATTGTACCAAGTTTCGTTAAAATCCGTCGAGTAGTTTTTGTTTCTATAAGGAACAAACACACAGACAGACAGACAGACAGACAAAAATTTTACTGATTGCATTTTTGGCATCAGTATCGATCACTTATCACCCCCTGATAGTTATTTTGAAAATATATTTCATGTACAGAATTGACCTCTCTACAGATTTATTATAAGTATAGATTTACATATTACATGATTGCGAACGTGAATTTTAGCTTATACGCGTCGTCGCTACCCTATGAATGACTAACGGTGCCGGTGACTGCCTCGATAACTTGTAAGTTATCTTTTTTCATTTTTTCTGATCCTAAGTCTGTAGACTTAGGATCAGAAAAAAGGAGGTTCTCAGTTCGACTGTGTGTTTTTCCCACATAAAATTTCATCTCTTACGAGTTCTATTTTCGTAATAAAAAATATCTCATCTTCTTCAAATAACCATACCAAGTACACAACTTTAAAAATATACACTGGCGGCTGGTTTATTTCACATTATCCATCCAGCTAGTACAGGTCTATTTTCTGTAAACCAGAAAGTGTTGTAGGCAATGAGTTTTCAAGTTTTGTGTATATTCTCATCGCTCTGAAACCCCACAAGGGATAAATGACTATTAAATAATGATTTCACCCTTTTCAAATTTCAGCAAGGAGGTCTTTCATCTGAGCAATTAAGACACGTGCAAATATGGACCATTAACCAGGCCGTCTGCAGATCTCGTTATGCCGCGGTTGGCAATACTGTTACCGACAACATGTTGTGCTCTGGCTGGCTTGACGTTGGCGGTCGCGACCAGTGCCAGGGTGACTCTGGTGGCCCGCTATACCACAACAGAGTCGTCGTTGGCGTCTGCTCCTGGGGTCGAGGCTGTGCTAATCCTAACTTCCCTGGTGTCAATGCTCGTGTATCCCGTTATACTAGCTGGATTCAGAACAATGCATAAATTTCTGAAGTAAACTGTACCTATTTGCACATCTAAAATGTACAAAACTGTAAAAGATGAAAAATAAAGTTTTGCTAATGATATTATTATACACTCAAATCAAACAATAAACGGATTCTAAGAAAACGGGTTCGAGAGTTAAATGTATTTAATTAATATTCTTTAAAATAAACTTTATTTATATTATTTGGACTTATTTTCCTACTGCTGTCACCTTGCCAACAACAGTCTTATCTGTTGTTTCCTCAGAACATGAACTACAGCATTGTATAATTTTTTTTTAATATTTATAGTAAAGTATTTAATGGGATCTTCGTTCCCAAAATTACGTGTTTTAGTAATGCAGTAACCTAAAGTGAGACCCAGGCATTCATAAAATCAGAACGAAACTTCATGAACTATACAATGAACGCAACTTTTATACTAGTGAAAGTTTTAGAGATTAGGTACGTAATTATTGTGTTATTTAAAAAAGGATGTCGCATAACAAAATCATATTATTTAAGTTCCAAGATAAAAAATAGTAATGAAAAATCAAAATGACATGGAACATTGTAAACGGTGAAACAGGAAAATCTAAAACTCGAAATAACAATTTTAATTAAAACATTGAAAATAGAAATGTTATATCAGATTATAATTTTTATTATTTTTAAAGCATGTAACTGCTTGATGTTTAAATCTAAAGAAAATATAACTAGAAAAAATTCCACGCGGACCAGGCAGCAGACGGGACTCGAACCCGCACCCTTCGCAATCCGGGCGAATGCACTGACCAATTATGCTACCGCGGCCCTCACGGACCGCGTCGCGTCGCGTTTCTAGTTATATTTTCTTTAGATTTAAACATCAAGCAGTTACATGCTTTAAAAATAATAAAAATTATAACTATAATTGCTATTTCTTCTTTCAAATGTTTAATACTTGTAAAAGTATTCATTTGACATTGTGGGTTTACCTATAATGCGAAGAGATGGCGCTGCCTTGCAGCTTAAGAATAGCTAGAAAGAATTTCGACGCGGTCCGTGAGGGCCGCGGTAGCATAATTGGTCAGTGCATTCGCCCGGATTGCGAAGGGTGCGGGTTCGAGTCCCGTCTGCTGCCTGGTCCGCGTGGAATTTTTTCTAGTTATATTTTCTGTTATATCAGATGTTGAAGTTGCTACAGCATTTGAGAATTGTTTTTCTGATATTACAGTTTCAACTACAAAATATTTGTCCTACCTCATTGCAACTGAATAAACAATAAAAGAAAACATCAAACACTGCACTAGTCAATTTAGATATGTTAATTATAAAGATGTATTGTAATAATATTTTAACCAATTATATTAAAAGAAAACCGTGGATATGTGGTGTAACTCCGTGGATGTTTCTGGATCAGTAATTGAGACAATAGCTCCTATTCTGGCTAGCATATTTAATCAATGTGTTGACTGTGGTGTTTTTCCTGATCTAATGAAACACAGTAAAATAAGACTATTGCATAAATCAGGTAGCACATTTGAACCGACAAACTTATGACCTATATTAGTGTTACCCACCTTTAGTAAGATTTTTAAAAAAGATTATGCTAGATCAGATATTAACACGCTTTTTTTAGTTTCACCTGTATGTTTGTATGTATGTAACTGACTCGTTTGGGCTCAATTTTGCCCAACTTTAAGCGATCAGATTTGCTTTAAACTTTGCTTTAAAAGCAAATATATGTAGATTAGGTGACAATACAATATTATGGTACCACCGAGCTGATCTGATAATGGAAATGGAAGGTGGCTGATGGAACCTTGGACTACCTACTAGTAAATATATCGAGTTTGGGCTCATTAGATTCATCTTAACACATTCTGTTCATTTCTTCTGATGACGAGGACCTGATGATGGACTGGAAGGTGGCTGGTGGACCCTGCACTGCCTGCTAGTAAACAAATCGAGTTTGGGCTCATTAGATTCCTCTTAACATATTCTGTTCATTTTCCTGATGACGCGGACCTGATGTTGGTCTGGAAGGTGGCTGATGGACCCTGGACTGCTTACTAGTCAACATATCGAGTTTGGGCTCACTAGATTCGTCTTAACATACTCTGTTCATTTTCCTGATGACGAGGACCTCATGATGGACTGGAAGGTGACTGATGGACCCTGGACTGCCTACTAGAAAAAAAGAATCAAGTTTGGGCTCATTACAGTCGTCTTAATATATTTTGTTTATTTTACGTTAAAGCGGGGTAATAAAAAAGTCTTTCAATATATTACAATGAAAAGCGCCCCACGCTTTTTCAGTTATATATACTTAAAATCAACTACATATAAACATGACTTACTGTAAAGCCCTAATGAAGTAAACAGAGAGTATATTTTGTTTATTTTTGACTTTTTAGTGCAGTGAGTAAAAGCGTGTTTTTAGTTTTTTAATTCATAGTAATAATATTCTTCATAGTAAATAATTTGGTTTCACAAGGCGTTGCTGCAAATTTTTGATGCATGGGAGAATTTGCATGGTGCACTAGGTGTATTTTGCCACTTATCAATAGTATCTAGATTGCGTTTTTCATGAATCATTGATAATTTGATCAGATATCTTCATCACTATGGATTTTGATATACCACTCTGAATCTTATAGTATCAAATTTGTGGGATGGGGTTCGAAAAGTTAGCATCAATGGAAAAAGATCTTCTGGTTCATCTGTTAAGATGGGAGTTCCGCAGGGCGCAATGCTTGGGCCTTTCTTATTTTTAATTTATATCAATGACTTGCCCTATTTTGTAAGGGTTAACCACAAAAATGTATATAATAAGTAAGCAAATAAGGTAAAGGTTTTGAGACAAGGTTTTTCCTTAATATGGAACTACTGAGAATAAATACTTTAGGTTTGGTAATTATCCCACCAGTTATATCCATGGAACTTTTTTTTATTATAGGGGGCATACGAGCAGAGGGCTCACCTGATGGTTAGTGATCACCGTCGCCCATGGACACTTGCAACACCAGGAGTATCTCAAATATGATGCCGGCCTTTAAGGAAGGAGTACGCTCTTTTTTTGAAGGTTCTTGGGTCGTATTGGTCCGGAAACACTGCTGGCGACAACATGTTCCACAGTTTTGTCGTACGTGGTAAAAAATTTCGACAAAAACGCACGGTTGTGGATAGCCACGCATCAAGATGATGGGGATGAAATTTTTGTCGCGATGTACGATGGCGAAATGCAGCAGCTGGAATTAATCCGAACAATTCCTCAGAAAACTCTCCGTGATAAATGCGATAGAAGATGCAGAGCGAAGCTACATCCCTACGCAAAGCCAAAGGATCAAGCTGATCGGAAAGGTCCTGGTCGTCGACGATTCAAGCCGCTCGGCGCTGGATGCGATCCAAAGGGAGAAGCTGGTACTGGGGTGCCCCCGCCCAAAGATGAGAGCAGCACTCCATGTGAGGCCGAACCTGTGCCTTATAAAGCTGCAGTCGGTGGGCCGGTGTGAAGTACATTCTCGATCTATTGAGCACACCAAGCTTCTTAGAGGCCAATTTGGCCTTGCCCTCTAAATGATCCCGAAACTGAACGTCGCTCGATATTTCAACGCCAAGAATTCCAATACTAGCTGAGGCAGTTAGAGGAGTGTTCTCAAAAAGAGGAGATACGACAAATGGTATTTTTTTTGCGGTGAACGCGCATACTTGTGTCTTGGAAGGGTTAAATTGGACTAGATTAAGTCGGCCCCAATTCGTTACTCGGTTTAACAAAGTTTCTACTTCAGACACAAGTTTGTTCCGGCACTCGATGACGTTTTCCCGTAAAATGTTGGCGCGGCCGGTATATAGGGCATCACCCGTGCTGTCGTCTGCATAGCAATGAATGCCATCAATTTGAAGCATATCATTGATATGAAGAAGAAACAGCGTAGGCGATAGCACACAGCCTTGTGGAACACCAGCGTTTACGGATTTGGAGTCCGAGCATGCACCGTCGACTGCGACCTTGATGCTCCTGACCGCAAGAAAGCTAGTGATCCAAACGCGCAGCTTTTCAGGAAGTCCATAAGAAGGAAGCTTCGAAAGAAGCGCTTTGTGCCAAACCCGATCGAAGGCCTTCGCGATATCCAGACCGACCGCCAATGCTTCCCCCTTGGTCTCGATCGCCTTTGCCCAACGATGAGTCAGGTATACTAGTAGATCACCAGCCGAACGACTCTGACGGAAACCGTACTGGTGGTCACTGATCAGCTATTAAGTAACAATAGTTCCATGTGGAACTAGCTACATGGAACTGCTGGGAATAAAAAAAATCGTATTGTTTGCAGATGACACTTCACTTTTGTTTAATGAAGCGGTTAAAGAAGTATGAGAATAAGATTTTAATGTCTTTGATATGCCATTTGGTTTTTGTGCCGTTTGCATCTTCTGATATGTTCACTTGTACTTGTACACAGGGTGTATTTTTGCAGCATAACTTTTTACAAAATTAGGACAGATTTTTTCCATACTTCGAGGTGAGATGGAAAAAAGAACCGCAGGGAATTGTTTTTCAACCAAATACTAAAAAGTAAGGCATATTAGCAGTTATAGAGTAAGCACAAATTGTTCATCACTTGATGAATTTTGGTATTAGACTTAATTACAGATTGAGAATAAGGAGCGATTAGGGGCTGGGAGGAGGGTTGAGGTATTCATGAATAAATAACTGGAGCTGGGGTATCGATAGATTTGACAATATTTTCCGCTGGTTGAAAGGTGAATGGTTCAAATTTATTAATCAAGTCATCTTTTTAGTTTTAAGATTATTAAAGGTCAATTTCAATGCATAAAAATCTGAAATATAAGTGATTAGACAAGCTTTAATTAGGCGAGTAAATTTAGAATCGCCCTGTATTAATCTATTTCTTTTCCCTTCAAGGTAGTTGATGGTCGTTTCGAATTGAGCAAGATCTTCATCGATAGGACTGGGAGAATTTAAAATGTCCTACAACGTTATCAAATAAAGTCGCTGTATTTGTTTTCTTAAGTCTATGACCGTGTTTGCTGAATCCTCCTAATTATTATCTCATATACACCGTGAATTATGAGTATCCTAAGAAACTTTACTAGCTAATTCAGTAAAACGTTTAGGTTATAATTCCTCAAAAAAAAAAAACTTTATCAGCAAAGAATTTTTTGAAGAATGTCTTCACTTTAAGTCACTATTTGTGTACTACAAACCAGCTACTACTACAACTTCCTAAAACCTTAACAATTGTAATTATTATAAATTGATCCAAATAAATCAACTTATAAAATCTACGTACTTTAAACGGGCAATAATTCCTTAATAGGTATGATAATTATTTACAAATTTGCACCGTTTCAGGATATTTGGTAAACGATATAAATCAATATTTTTATGGGCGTGTAGGACGTTTACTGTTTATAACTCTACTGTTAGCAATATTTTTATTTACCTGTTTTTGAAGTTTCTCAGGTGACTCAAAATCCACGGTGTATAAGTTCAGGTTTGTTAAAATAATCGAATTTAACTAGGCGAGTTTATTTTCTATCCCATCATTCTATATCCCTACTATACTTACACTGTTCGTAACAGTCGAGTACCTGCTTATTTGTGCAGTAAATTGAGCGTAAAAGTATAATCGATTTATAAGTCAAATAGTATTACTATAACCTATACAGCTGGGATTTTTTATTATCATTTAAGAGAGGGAGGGCATAGCGCGAGTTTTAAGCAGTTAAGCAACAAAAACGTTTTTGTGTGTTGTTTTTCTGCAGTGAGTAAAGTTCCAAAGCTCCACGGGGTGAGGAAATAGGGTTCAGTACACAAAAGTCTTCATTCGTATGCAATTATTAATATAATTATATATAAAATGTATATATATAAATCAACGGTTTTCTAGGTTAGCGCGACAAACTCGGGATTAATTCCAAATAATCTACCCTGGATAAGTGGTACATTCATCCACCTTCTTGCGGTCTCGCACAGAAGATGAAGGTAAAGGACAGTAGAAAAGCTAAAGGGAAAATCTGCAGTCTTAATAGTTGGGCGCCAATTTTGTCGTGTAGCAACAAAATAATATGAAAAAAACAGGGATCACATTTGATCCCTGTCTTTTCATAGTTATTTCGTCAGAAAGTCAGAGACAAGGGGCAAGGATGACAATATATTTATTTACATAAGGATAAGATAAAACTTTACAATCAAATGGTGGAAATGGTAATGTGCGGAGTGTGGAGGTGTACAGTGCAATGGGCGTGGCTCGGGTGGATCTTTCAATGGTAGGCGGGCAGCGCTTCAGGTGTACGGGTGACCCTGCTGGTAGATGGCCGGTGCTGTCAGTAGGCGGTCGGTGCTGCTGGCAGACCGGCGGCGCTGTTGGTAGGCGGTCGGCGGCTGGTAGATAGGTGACGCTGCGGGTCACCTGGCCTCAGACAAAGATGGTTGGCGACGCGGTGGAGAGCACGCCGACGAGGAGAAGTGAAGATTAGATGGGTAATTTTTGTGTTATATATCCAGGTTAAACTGTACTTCCAGGGCCCAAGTGGTGATACTTCACACTAGGTTAGGTTAGGTTAGGTTAGTGTTGTGACTTTCCGGTTATAATAAGGTACTCTGTGGTTGTGACCATAAGGCGCGGGCCGAGCGAGCGAAGCAAGCGAAGCGCCAGAAAAATAAAATTAAAGAGACCTTTTCTACAAAAAAGTTCGAGAATCACCTCTTGGGCCCTGGAAGTACAGTTTTACTGCCAAATTTGTCTTGTGGCGTCTTTCTTGAGACAAATTAATGACAAACATTAATATTTTCGTTTCATTCAATCTTTTTAAACAGCTACTATTTGCAATATTTGGTTAAAATATCAAAAGCTAACGATAACAATAACGTATATGGCCACAGTTTTTCGGTGTCAGGGCATATCTAACGACCTAAATCTTCGCACCAGTAGATGTTTTACATCAACACCCTACTGTTATAAATAAGAGGAAGACAAATAAAAAAAAGATTGTAGTCAATAATCACATATCACAACCAAATAAACTAGTTACAGATTTTTTTATAATACTTTAATCATGTTTTAAATTAAGATTAAGACGATATATATTATTAACTCTATGATAATAACGCTATCAGGTATCACATAACATTTTGTTAAATATTCTGATTGTATAAAACTAGGCTTATTACTCAAGAATTCTTGGATAGAAGCTAGTAAAATGCGTGTTGTTGTTGCCTTGCTAATAAGTTCGGTTCTTGTATCAGGTAAATATTTATATTATTGTGAGTGTATTATTGTGTATGTAGTGTGTAGTGTGTTGAAATAAGTTTTAGTATAAGGTGATTCTACAATATGACCAGACAAAAACTAAATATGTATAATACCATGAGTTCGTGTTTTACTAGTCACGTGTTTTGTACTGATTGAACTATGCTGGATTTAGAAAGACAGACTTCAAAGTTAGTAGACTATTTAGTTAAAAAAATATACCTACTTTATTAGCTGAGCAGAAAAATCCCATCCGTTTCAACAATAGCAATACAGTAGTTGTGCTTTTTAACATTTTCATGTTATGCTGAATATTGAAAATATTACGATAACGTTACGATAATACGTTTTAAGTAATAATAAGGAAATTTAGAAAGTGACGCATGAGTCAGCCAATGCTAGGTTATATATTATTATTGAATTATACGACCTGCCATATTATTATGTCGCGAATTCTGAGATTTTATAGATATCATGATATTTAAACCAATAGTCATTATTACCTACCTATTTCTTGAACAATGTAGAAGGTGATCACTATCAGCCTTCTGTCTTTAAGAATCTGAAGTAGTCGTGATAATTTAAATATTTAAATTTCAGCTGAACCCCGCAATTCGCAAAGAATTGTAGGGGGTTCTCTGACCACGATCGACAGATATCCCGAGATGGCGTCGCTTATAACCGCCTGGCCGTCCTGGTTCGCCCACGAATGTGGTGGTACTATTCTCAACAACAGAGCTGTACTTTCCGCAGCACACTGCTTTGGGTACCTACTGTAGTAATGGCGCAATTACACTTGGTCGTTAGCCCCAATACAATTGTCTATCGAATTTGGACAAACGACTAATTGTTAATGAACGAATGTATTTTTTTTAAATCTTAGAAAGCTTTTAAAGGCCTTTTCATTGACAGTTTACCAGCATTTGTTGCTTCCATTCCGTAACGCATGTGGTCATCACCTATAATTGTAATAACATTAAGCTTAAGTATTTTATCATGACCTGCTAGATTGTTGTGTCAATGTTTATTATGTAGGTAATCAAATAAATAAATAACTAAATGAAGGATGTCGGTAACGGAGTCGAGTTCGCCCATATTCGGTCAGTAATGGTTACCGTCTTCCCTGTGTTCGAGTAAAAACAATGCTAATATTGTATCGGCTGCCCGAATCTGATTAATGTCTTTGGTGTACCCAAATACGGGCTAACGACCAACTGTTAATGCGCCTTAACTCTATTTGAAATATTTTAAATAAATTTATCTTTTCTATAAAATTCACTTTTTTCTTATGTGTACATTATCTGATTAATATTTTTAAAATGTTAATTTTAGGAACGATCCCCCTTCCGATTGGCGAATCCGTGTGGGTTCTACTTTTGCTAACAGTGGTGGTACAGTTATATTTACTAGTCAGATTATCCGTCATCCAGCTTTCACCAGAGTGACATTCGACAACGATATCGCTGTTCTTCGTACTGCCAGCGCCATTTCCTTTTCCGATCTAGTCAGACCAGGGAGCATTGCTTCACCCACATACAACCTCGGAGACAATCAAGTCGTATGGGCTATTGGATGGGGACGTGATAACGTAAGTAAACATTCTTAGTAAGAGTATTTCATAAATACTTGTCATAATAGTCATAATATTTATTGCTTCATGTTGGTTACATTTAGTTCTTAAATTTAATAACAGCTCGCAAACATGATCCCTGCAAGGGCATTGCAAATTATAATAAAAGTATACAAATATTAATTTAAAATTTGATAAAATTATAATAGGATTACAATTTAAGATAGATAGAAAAATTAAATTAGTTAACAAAAATATAATTTTAAAATTAATTCTTATATCACTTTAAGCAATTATAAAACACATTTAGGGTTAGTTTAAGAAATGTATGTCAATCAAAACAAATATTGGCATGTGAAGTGAATTTTGTACTCAAACATGAGTGACTTGTTATTAATATGATTAGATTATATTTTAGATGTTGATTATGATACATTTATGATGATTAAAGTTATCAGCCAATTTTATTGCGATTACGTCTCACTCATTGCTTTGAAACAGAACAATACTTTCACAACCTAAGGTACTAGAAGAACATTCAACAAATCTGTAATATCTTGATAGTACGTAAAATGGTCAGTGCATGTTCCCGTATAGCGAAGAGTATTAACCGATTTTAGCCTTATCCTGGGCTAACTTGATGTTTTCTTGGAATTTATTTAGTATAAATATCTGACAGGTTAGGTTACATGTTTCATCATCATCAACCTATTAATGTCCCCACAGTGGGGCGCAGGCCTGCCCTATGGATGGAATAGGGAGATTGGACCATGACCCACCACGCTCGCCAGTGCGGGTTGGCGGGTGCTAACGACTGCTGATGCAGCCGGGACCAATGGCTTAACGTGCCTTCCGAAGCACGGAGGAACTCGAGATAGAAGATTTTTGGTCACTCATCCAAAAATCGACCACTGCGAAAGTTGCTTAACTTCAACGATCGTAACCAAACGCTCTAACCACCTGCGCCATCGAGCTCCTAACATGTTGGTTATATTTTTATTTTCACATTTAACTGCTAGATGTTAAAATTTAAAGAAAATTTGACTACAAAAAAATCCACGCGGTTCAGGCAGCAGACGGGACTCGAACAGCCTTTATGTACATAAATGAAGCAAAGAAAGCGTGAAATAAATCAAGCAGTCAGTATTGATAATTTTTAACTTTTATTTCAGTTTGTTGGCAGTATGTCTGAACAACTGCGTCACGTGCAAATTTGGACAGTTAATCAAGATATATGTCGAAGTCGATATGCGTCCATCCGTACTGTTACCGACAATATGCTTTGTTCTGGCTGGCTTGACGTTGGCGGCCGCGACCAATGTCAGGGTGACTCTGGCGGTCCCCTCTTCCACAATGGAGTTGTTGTTGGTGTCTGCTCCTGGGGCTATCAGTGTGCTCTCGCTAGATACCCCGGTGTCAATACCAGAGTGTCGCAGTACACTGATTGGATAGTTAGCAACGCTTAACTTACTGGAAGATAACATAATCAACCCAATATCCCACTGACTGTGTTAAAAACAAAACCTAAGTGGCTCGTTGAAGAATAAATGACCGATATAGTTCTCACACAAATACGTACGCATCTTTATGCCGTGTCGCGAGCAGGGTAGCCGGAGAAATAAAGCGTCACATGGCACAATCTGTTCCGGCCACATCATAAGACGGCGCGGCGCCCGGGGCGAGCAGGCCACTAGCTAGTCGCCAGCGGCCACCGCCACTGCACTTCTATCAAGACAACTACCAAGACATTTCGTAATATGTGTACCGCGGCGGCCGTTAAACAATTGTAACAAATCATACCTAACCTTTATATTTGTAATATCCAACGAATAAAAACATGATAAAGAAGACAAAGTTGTATGTTTCTACGCGATCCTTTCACATCTCTTGCTTCACTCAGTTTATCAAACAACCATGACGTGTCCAATCAGAACCCAAAAAAATAATGAAAAACATAGTTAAATGTTGGGAATAACCCAACATTTAAGTGAGTTTTCTGGGATATGGCCAATCCACTGCACGAAAACGTAACTTACTCGACATGTTTCATAGTCATTATTTGATTATTTACTAATCAAAAGTAATTTCCTATACTCCGCAATTGCCATAAGTGTTGCTCCGGCACTCAGGATGGGCCCTCAGGTCCGAAAAATGCCAGCTGTGGTATCTTTGAGGTGATACTATGGTTATGGGAAAAAAATATACATATTTTAAATTGTCAAGGTTTGGCAATACCTGCACTTTCCGCACTCATTTCGGGGGTCTCAATCCTCAATATAGTCTATGGTTTTGGTGGGTAGGGCCTCGTCCATTTCAGCAAGTTATCGAGCTAGATAAAATGAGAGGGGAGGAGTCCGCACGTTGTAACCCCCGGTGTCGTGTGAAAGCATCATGTCTTTCCCAGACATACAAATGGCACCATTGATGCCTTTGGTCCACATTCTTATACGTTTCTTTTCATAACCATCAACAGAAGAAAAAAAAATCACTTTTTCCTAACTGGTTATGTAATGATGATTATGAAACAAGAATATTAAAATATATAACGTCAACAGCGAGGACATCACCTATGTGACAATTTATGTCGTTATGGCAGACACTTTGGAGGATCTCAACACAAATTTCAATAACCTCAGCAGAGCATTTCAATATGTGGGCAGAACATGAGTAAGACGAAAATTATGTATAACGCTCATATTCCGCTCCACACGGTTATCCTTGAGAACTCTGTACTCAAAATTGTCGACAAATACATATGTTATATATGGGACAAATCCAATTTCGTGATCGAGGTAACAGTGTGTTGCCAGTGATGACATAAACAACTAAGATTGATTTTTGACTATCGGCCCCATAAGAAGGCTAAGAATCACACAGCGAGCGATGGAGAGAGCTAGCTATGCAAATCTCTCCGCGATCGAATCAGAAATGAAGAAATTCGTCGAAAATCTCATTTCAGGTCGAGTTCTGAAAAATACGCGGTCTCCACTCTAACCTCACCACCACCACCCTGTGGCCATAATTCCAACGCGTACAAAGAAATTTGGTGACTCATTTCTTTGTCGCACTATCCGTAAATGGAATGCTCTGCCCGCTCACGTATTCCCTCCCTCTTACAACCTGAGATCCTTTAAAAGAGGCATGAAGAAGCAACATGCAGGCCGGCAGGGTGAGGCAGGCAGGTAGAATCAGCTATCTTCGCGTCTGGACTTCACCTTCACTTAACATCAGGTGGGGTAGAGTCATTTGTCGCACCTATCTATAAAAAAAAAACTAAGCTTAACGGATTGCTAAGTTGAAGTGGCTATGGGTGAGGCAAATAGGCCGGCGGCTCGATGGATGGATGGGATCTGAAGCCAGTATAGAGAACATGTCTTGAAGATAAAATAATTTAACTGATTGTTTTTTTCTCCTCTAAACTCTTCGACAGTCCTTTAAAAATGTTCACAATTGCCCAATCATTTGGATAATGGGACTAATCCTGAAACCATGGGCGAAAAATTCCTGGCTGGACTCCGACTAGCTTCTTTTGCAATCCGGGCGAATGTACTAACCGTTATCCTATGCTATCGAGACTATTAGACGAATTTCTTCTAGTTTCTATTCTTAGACTGCAAGGCAGCGCCCATATTTTCAAATTTTAGATAAACTAAAATAGTTGATTTCCATGTCAAAGAACCCATGACGGCCACATGGTAAGTAAAAAAATCCTGGTTGGACTCGGAATAGCTTCTTTGCAATCCGGGCGAATGTACTAACCGTTATGCTATGCTATCGAGATCCAAATGGACGTATTTCTTCTAGTACCTATTTATTAGACTGCAAGGCAGCGCCCATCTTTACACATCTTCTATCTTTATATATAAAACTCAAAGGTGACTGACTGACATAGTGATCTATCAACACACAGCCCAAACCACTGGACGGATCGGGCTGAAATTTGGCATGCAGGTAGATGTTATGACTCAAGCATCCGCTAAGAAAGGATTTAGATCAATTCTACCCCCAAGGGGATAAAATAGGGAATGAAAGTTTGTATGAAACTTTGTCAATTTTAAACCGATCGGGCTGAGACAGCATGTAGGTATAAGAAGAATCATAGATGAATGTCATAGTGTATAATACGCCTGAGAACAAAAACTGTAGTCTACACTTGAGCTCTACACCGAAGCGAAGCGAGGGCGGGCCGCTAGTTTTAGATAATCTACAATACTTAATTTCCATTTCAAATAAGGATCTTTTTTAGATGTAAAATAAGTTTAATGATTAAAACAAAAAGCTAACGACGGTATCGTGGAACACTCGGTTGAAACGCAGATAAAAATAAACATAAGTTTAAGGGCTTTTACAGTGCGGAATAAATTCGCAAACGACAATAATTTCTTCGCGAACTACGATTCATTATCGCCTGCGAAATATCAGGGCCAAGGACCGTCGCTGTGCCACCACGGACGGCAGTGTGCACCGAAACATGGGTTTTGCTTAAGAAAATAACCATTATACACTAATTAATTTTACATAATTATAGAATTTTGAAGAAGATAACTAAACGTTTCTGGGTCTATCCTATGGCAGCATTAAGACCTTCTAAAAAAATATTTGTGTACGGTATAACGATCTTCGTGACATGTCTTTTTTGTTACTTATTTTCGAATGTTTATCTATTCAATGTTTTGATAACCATATCGTTGGCCCTCTTCTTCGGTACAGCAACGCATTATGGTGAAATGCTATTACACTATTACTAAGACTCCACTGTCCGTTAGTCTGTCTATCACCAGGCTGTATCTCATGAACCGTGATAGCTAGACAGTCGAAAAAAGACGGTTCAAAAGTGTTAGTCATTAGTCGTTCTCAAATAGGGGCCTGAAAATGCGGCGAAATAGTTCCAGTAAAGGATGGTACGGCAGTGTTTGCTTCGCGCTCGACTTGTCGGGGGCACTGCCGTGCCCCTCGATCCACAAAACACTTAGCACTCAAACTCAAAATCATTTATTCAGTCTTGGTTTTATTGTTACAAGCTCTTGTGAACATCAACTCTATGCCATCGGTTCGTAAATCTACGGCGGGAGAGCCTGTACTGAGAAAAACCGGAAAAACACTCAGCAAGGACTATTTTTTTCTCCCTGTTTTATTTCATACAGTGTCGTCAATTGAAAGATGTCACCAAAACCAATGTCAAGTTCCATCATATTCTTAAAAATTACGTAAAGTTAAATATACACATATTTCTAAAATATACGCTTATTTAATTTAAAAAAGGGTCAAATAACAAAATCCAGTTTTACAAACCCCAAGATGCTTTGTTATTTGTGTAATATTTTACAGTATAGTAACCCTTCTTAAGGAGGCAACTTTTGATATAAATTTTATGAATATTATGACTTTTGGCTAATTTATTTTATTTTGGCTATTTAATTATTCTAACAGTAAGTCTTTGCCGGCCAAGCCCTGAATATTTTGGTGAATAATGTTAATGCCGTTGGGCTTCGCTTTTGTCATGCATTTTAGATTTATTCTGAGGTGGTATTAAAATAAAATACTACAATTTAATAAAATAGTTGAATTAGTACAAGTACCTACTAATGATATTTTTATAAGAACTAATTTTGACCTACGAGTAATTATGTAATGAAATATGAACAGAATGATTATCCCTGCTTTAGTTACCTATTAATAGAATAATTATATTTGATGCTATGGCAACAAAAATAGATAAATAAACTTGCCATTTGCCAATGAATAATCATAAAATTTTATATTATAATATTTGAAAAATATTTTTTTTGTGGTAGCTCCCCTACATGGGAAATTTTTGTTTTCATTGTCTACCCCACCGTGTGGGTTATCGTTGAATAAGTCCGGATAAGTCCGGGCCGGAGGATCCGTTTGCGAAATATTAAACTTTACAGTACTAATTTTTGTTCGAGTAGGACGCCCTCCCCCTCTAAAAGCTTAACTATTGGCTTGAAAAACCTGGAGAAATTCATGATAATAGGGCTTTTTATCACCTTTGGGGGAAAACTATAACGGTTAAGATAGATTTGTTGGTTTAATAGTAATGGTCGTTCAACTTTGGTTAAATAAAATTTCTTACCTATTGAAAATTCCGCAGAAGAAAACATTAGACTACAACACAATAGTGACATAGAAGTTATTGTAACGTAAAGCCTTGCATTGAAAACAAAAACTATTTAAAAATTACAATAATATATCATTAGTTCCACAAAACTACCGCGAGTACCAACAGCAACGTTTTTGAATCACGCTATCGGTACGTTTTTATAAAAGCACTGTTTTGGGTTCCGTAGCCAAATGGCAAAAAACGAAACCCTTATAGATACGTCATTTCCATCCGTCTGTCCGTCTAACCGCATTAAGATTTTCACACAAAAATAGAAAAAAAACAATATTTTTGGGGGATCCCCACAGGTGTTCAAAACACTCTTTATGGGCGAGACCGACACGCACTTGGCCGCTTTTTAATTATTAAGAAGAAGAAGTCTATCAGGAAGTGTCGTCAACATTCCCGAACGACTTAAAATATATAATTCAACTTTGAATCTTAAGTTGTTTTCTGGCGATAATAATTTTTAGGGACAACGCGATGAACATAAACTCTATTAATTATAATATTCCCATGCAGAAAATAAACACTCCTGCTCAAATAAGGGTTTTTCAATAAGAGCGCTACAAAAGTTTTTTTAAATAAAACAAAAACGATTTTGGATATCAATAAAAAATTTTATTCCTGTTAAAGTACATTCTATGCCATTATGTATGGAACTCGATTTCTTTTGCATGGCCACCACGGGCACGCTTGCAGAAGTCCAGACGCTGAACCCAATTTTCGACGGTTTTCAAGCATAAATCGGCCGATACTGCTGCAATTTCACGTTCGATATTCGTACGAAGTTCATCAATCGTCGCTGGCTTGTTGGCATAGACCATAGACTTGACGAAGCCCCACAGGAAATAGTCTAACGGCGTCAAATCGCACGACCGAGGCGGCCAATTGACTGGGCCATTTCGTGAGATAACACGTTCACCAAACTTGGTTTTCAATAAATCGATTGTGACATTCGCTGTGTGGCTTGTGGCGCCGTCCTGTTGAAACCACATATTGTCCAAGTCCATATTATCCAATTCGGGCCAAAAATATTCGGTTATCATTGAGCGGTAGCGATTCCCATTCACAGTAACGTGCCGGTCTTGATCATCACGGAAGAAGTAAGGTCCAATGACGCCGCCGGCCCATAAACCGCACCAAACCGTAATTTTTTCGGGATGCAATGATGACTCATGGAGTACGTGTAGATTGCTGCCTGACCAATAATGCATATTTTGCTTATTGACGAAGCCATTCAGCCAGAAATGAGCCTCATCGCTGAAGATGATTTTTCGATGAAAATCCGGATCATTTTCAAGTTGTTGCTCAGCCCAATTCACGAACATACGACGCTTCTGGTGGTCAAGCGGCTTCAGTTCTTGCGTCAATTTGATCTTGTAAGGATGTAGGCCAAGATCTTTTCGCAAAATTCGCCACAACGACGTCACAGAGATGCCCAACGCTTGAGAACGACGTGTGAGAGACTGATTTGGGTCTTCATCAATTGATGCGCTAGCGGCATCAATATTCTCGACACTACGGGCACTTCTTTGTCTCACTGGCACGGGAACATTTTGTACTGTGCCTGTGGATTCAAATTTTTCCACTAGACGCTCAATTGTTGATCTGGCAGGACGATTATGACGACCATAAATTGGACGTAGCGCTCTTAAAGTTGAGGCCACTGACTCCGAATTTCGGTAGTAAATTTTAATAATTTCGACTCGTTGTTGGATCGTATATCTTTCCATGATGAAATGGCAAACGTTACTGAAGAGAAATGTCAAAAGAACGGGGAAAAAAAATGGCGTCGTTTGCTGTCCCTATCGATCTACTTTTGTAGCGTCCCTAATGAAAAACCCCTTATATTGTGGTAAAGACAGGCAACTACGGAATCCTACACTGCTCGTGGCTTGACACGCACTTGGCCGGTTTATGTTCTATATTAACAATGGCAATATGCAGAAGCTTGAATATTTGGTTGTATGTTTACTTTAAAAATAATATATAATACTATACAATGTGAGGTGGACATGTTTTTTTTGTCGTTTTTTGTTCGATAGATTATAGTATCTTATGTTGTATAGTCTACTAACTCTACTTGGTAAGGGGTCTATCGACACGCTTTCTTAGCTTGTTTTATTTTCTTTTTTTTTCTTTTTTAGCGCTTTCCGGAGCTGGGTCGCCAATGAAGCACCTTAGGACCGAGCCGGGGGGACCTACTGGATGCGGAAAGCTCAAGATCGTTGTGTTTGAAGATCCCTAGAGGAGGCATATGTCCAGCAGTGAACGTCTATCGGCTGATTATGATGATGATGATGTTGTATAGATAATGGTATGGAATCCTTCGTGCACGAGTTGGAATCGCATTTAATTGTTGTTTTAGATGTAGGTATTGCTTTTGTTTACACTAAGTCAGTCACTGTAAATATACCTTTTTTGTGTCTGGGAAATGCCTTACGCATCCTTCAACCACTGTGGGAGTAAGAAGAAGGTATGCGAGACTCCTCCCTGTTTATATCAGTCAGCCCTGTGGCCGAATGAAATAAACAGAGCTGTACCTAATGCCTTGAACAGGGCCACTAAAAACCAGACAATACCCCTGTACCGTCACCCGACACGCAGCTGTAAATATACTTAAGTAATTCACCTTTATAGCGAATGACAGTGCCAGTTATGTCTTACTTCATAATCGGTGAATATTATTATTTATTTACATCCACTTCGGCTAAAGATACAATTATACTTCTATTATTTTATCTTTATACTGAAAGTTTTATATAAAATAAAAATAAAAGTATTTGGTTTGTTATTTCATTTAATTAAATACTATTATCACTTTTAAAAGAAATGAGAAACAATAAAAAAATATTAAACGTTACAATTATGATAATTTTGACAAAGTTAAGTTGCCCTTCAGATATTTATGCATTGTTAAGAATCCAGCTAATGTAACGAGCAACACGAGTATTGACACCAGGGAAGAAAGCTTGAGCACAGCCTCGGCCCCAAGAGCAGACGCCGACGACGACTCTGTTGTGGTACAACGGACCACCGGAGTCACCCTGGCACTGGTCGCGGCCCCCGATGTCGAGCCAGCCAGAACACAGCATGTTGTCGGTAATAGTATTGCCGACTGAGGCATAACGATTTCTGCAGGTCGCCTGGTTAATGGTCCATATTTGCACGTGTCTTAATTGTTCAGATGATTGACCTCCTGCCTGAAATTTCATTTTTTTTTATTTAAGTATTGGTACACTGATATTTGCGAACTCATTGTCTACAGCAGTTTCTGGTTTACAGAAAACGATTTGTACTGTCTGGATGGGTAATTAAAATAAGCCAGCCGCCTGTGTATGTTTTTAAAGCTGCGTACTCGGAATGGTATTTTGAAGATCAATCTCTTGATATCACCATTACAATGTTATTAAAAACATATTTGTCACGGGAGATATTAATATTGATATTTAATGCGATAGCACAGATTCTTAGTCCTCGCTATACATTGTCTACTGCCGAACCACATATTTCCAACTCGGGGGTTAAATTGCATCGATCACAGCTTTTTGAAAGTTTGTACAGTAGCTAAAATAATAGATTGCGACTCTAGTATAACTGATCACAGATTTGTCCTCATATCAATATAAACAAATGTTATCAATCAAAAAGTACCTAAAACAATTACTAAAATCTATTATACTATACTAAAGTTTTATAAAAACTGAAAACCACAATCTGGCTTCAAATTACTGACTCTAAAGATCCCGAATTATCCTCGGAATGTTACATTGAAATACTTTCTCTTGACTTGTTACAATATTTTCTCTTGACTTGTATATATGCATAGGTCTGGCTGGGAAGGAAACAAGAAAAGTCTAAGGTTGTATTTTTTAATGTAATTAAGAGTTACAGAAAAAATGATTGTTTTAATAAAATACTAATATATTTTATGCATTCATAATGTATCATGTGAATTCAGTGTAAACAAATTCTATAATCTAAAGATATTTATGTTTTTATTTTATTTTTTAAGCATTTAACTGCTAGAGTTACCTACAATGCGAAGAGATGGCGCTGCCTTGCAGCTTAAGGATAGGAAAATTTCGACGCGGCTATCAGGGCCGCGGTAGCATAATTGGTCAGTGCATTCGCCAGGGTTGCGGAGGGAAGTTTTTTTTGTATTAAAACTTATTTAAAGATATTTCCAAGCTTTTTAGATGTGGTTGATTACCATTAGCTTCTCTATTTATTTTTCTTAGTCTGTGCCTATAAACTGCGATAGCCAACTAACGAACGTTAACGCGTCTCAAATATCTGGTCATTGATAGGACTGTGGGTATTTTATATCGTTGGTGGCACTACCCTGCCGAACACAATTTTATTATTAGTGCGTGGGTTAGTTCGACATTGTTTTGTCAATGATACGAATTGTCAATTAGAACTTAACAATATCAACTTAATTATAGATGTACTAGCTGTCCCAGAGAACTTCATAACGCCATAAAAAAATAGGGGTTGGTTGGAAAATTTAGGGTTGTATGTATGTATTTTAGTATGATGTATCAAAAAAAAAATAAAAACATAAAATTTTGTCAAAAAAAATTGAAGGGTGGACCACACTTAACATTTAGGGGGAGGGGGATGAAAAATAGATGTTGTCCCATTCTCAGACCTACTGAATATGAATATAAAATTTCACGAAAATCGGTAGAGCCGTTTCGGAGTAAGTCAATTACGCACACCGTGACACGAGAGTTTTATGTATTCGATGTGGGAGAAAAATAAGCAGTCGAATTGAGAACCTCTTTCTTTTGATTTGAAGTTGGTTTAAAATGGACGTAGTCATCATCAACCGTTAGTCATTTATTGGGCAGCGACGACGCAAATATGCTGAAATATAGGTTCGCAATCATGTTATATGTAAGTGTTTAATACAACAAAAACTCTAGGAATATAATTATGTATATTTAGTATGTAAGTACATAACACAATTTTCTAATACTAGTAGTAAAAACTACTAGTTAGTACTCACAGAAGTAGTTCCCCAGCCAGCAGCCCAAACTACTTGGTTGTCTCCAAGGTGATAGGCGGCGCCAGCAAAGCTTCCAGGTTGGATAGCCATAGTGAAATGAATGATACTGGCCAGACGGATGATGGCTATATCGTTATCGAAAGTGACACGATTGTAGTTCGGGTGATTGATTATCGAGGCACTATTAATAACGACACCCCCGGAATTTGCGTTGGTGGATCCAACACGGCTGCGCCATCTTACAGCTGCATAACCACTGCAAAAAATCACTTAATAGTTTTTATCCCATCACATATTAAATATCCTAGTAATATAAGTTTTTTACGTGCTTGTTACCATGTACCTTATTTTTAGCGAGTTCCCGATATTTCGACACTGTTCCAAGCGCCATGATCACGGAGTCACTGAAGTAATCGCGGGTAGGCTGTTATTAGCAGTCATATCGGTCTACCCTCCGACGAACGACGACGAAGTCTTTTATTGTGTTTGATACCCGTACCATTGTTCACATTCTAACTATACATTCGAAACTGTTCTCGACACAACACTTACAGTATCGGATTGCGACAGGACACTTTTTTGATTATTTCGATTTTTACACAAACAAACCACAGGATTCCAGACACTCGACAATTAAACCCGACCTCACGATTGAAATATTTATGTTTTCTTATTTCAATCTATCAATATACTTATTTCTCTAACCAATTTGGTGTTTGGCATTCTGTTGAGATAATCTGTGGTTCATGGAACTCAATCCAGTGGTTTGAACCAAAATCAATCAAATGTTCCGCGATTGGTGATTTCTGCATATCGTTGTTCTTGATTAAAACAAAAAGGGAAGATACGGAACTCGCGGCTCAAAAGTCATCCGCTTAAATTGTGGTGCATGACTAAAATTCGCTTTAGTCACAGTTGGAGATTCAAACACGTTGCATGTGCACAACAATGCCTTCGATGCTTTTATAAAGAACACAAATAGTTCAAGATCAAATAACAAATTTCACTGCAACACTTTTCATTCGTAAAACTATGAAAACATTTTTGAAGTTATACTTCTTTAGGCGCGTTATAAAAAAATTATGAGAGTGAAATTTTAAGATGCGCTCGCATCTGTAACACAAAAAATTAACACCATGAAGTTGGTCGCTTTAGCGACCTACTTCATGTGCCGCGCTGCCATTACCGCGTCGCCCGCCGCACCGTACGGATGCGCGGCCACTCGCGGTCCTAGCGCGGGAAACACGTACAACAAACATCGGGAAAAGTTACGAGTTTTGAATTTAGAACAGAGACTGTTTTCATATCTATATATATAAAAATGAAACCCGTTTTCCGTTGTCACGACATAACATGAAAACGGCTTGACCGATTTGGCTGTTTTTTTTTGTAGTTTTCTAATACTCTGTACAAGGTTCTTACGGAAAAAAATATAAAGAAAATCCCAAGGGGATAAAATAAGGAATGAAAATTTGTATGAAACTTTATCAATTTTAAACCGATCGGGCTGAGACTTTGCATGCAGGTATAAGAAGAATCATAGATGAATGTCATTGTGTATAATACAAGCCTGAGAATAAAAACTGTAGTCTACACTTCAGCTCTACACCGAAGCGAAGCGAGGGCGGGCCGCTAGTTTATAATATTTATCCACATGTTTCTAGTTTGTATATTCGGAATACGTGTTTGAGTTTCATACAAGTGCAAATCACATATGTTCTAATAAATTATATTCAGTAGCGATTTTAATTGAATATTTTGATTATTTATTTATTTTTTCAAATTAAAACTGAACTTTATTGACTGTGTCCTTTTCCAGACTTTTTATTAATTTATTGTAATTAATTATTTGCATGCAATTAAAAACTAATTTTAAACGATGCCAAAGAAGGATAACTTCTCACGCGCCTACATAAGTACACGCACCCATTTTTTTTCTCAAACATCACGGTTTGTCATGAATGTAATTTACTTTTTCGCCATTCGTTATCAAGAAAAAGACAACAATACAGCTCAGCTGTTTCAAATCAAATCATCTTTATTGCGAATATAGGTTACAAAGTTGTTACACAGATACATTTTAGTACAGTACAGCTATATTCTGCCTTATCGGCATGCAACATAATATTTCTATAAATCATTAATTATTTCAATGTTATATTAATTTTAACATAGTTTATTCAAAATGTCAATAAACAATAAATTTAAGATTGTAATTATTTCATGCATTTCATTTTTTCTATACTTAGTCAAAAACTTATATCTTCCAAAAATTCACGGACCGTATAGTAACATTTTTCTATTAAAAAGTATTGTAATTTGTTTTTAAATATTATACTTTTAGGTAATTTACTATAAATATAATGAGCATTGCAAAACAAACTTTTCCTAAGTTGTGCCGTTTTACAGGGGACTACACAAAGTTTTCCAATATGACGTTCACGAGTTCTGGCCTTAAATATTTTAATATTACTTTTTACAAAGACAGCGCATTCAAAAATGTAAAGGCACGGCAGAGTCAATATTTTTAATGCTCTGCTGCATCTCTTTTGCGCCCTGAATGCAGTGGTTGCGTCAGTAGAATTTCCCCAAAAGATCAATCCATATCGTAATGTCGGCGCTGCATTCCCATAATACGCTGTCAACAAAGTCGACTCATTAGCCACTTTCCGTAATTTATATAAAGCATAGGAAAACTGACTCAGCTTAGTACATACATACTTGTTTGTAGAGAGAGAAAAAGAAACGCAGTCGCCAAGCCAAGCGAACTCGCCGTTTTGCTCGCGCTGCGTTGAAGCATACAGTTCTGTCTCGCTCGCTCGATTGAATGTTTATTTACAGAAGTGTGCGCGGGTGAAATTTGCTTATGTAGTTGAGTCGGAGCATATTTTATTTGATGCTAGTATGACCTTACCGTATCTCCCGTTTTTGTTTTAATCTAAGTTCTTGATCGCTTTTATGTGTTCCCACATTCGGCAGGGTAGACCGATATGTCTGCCACTAACAGCTTACCCGCAATAACTTCAGTTACTCAGTTACTCCGTGATCATGGCGCTTGCAAAAATACCGATATATCGGAAACTCGCTAAAAACAAGGTACATGCTAACAATCCTGTAAATAACCTATATTACTATAATGTTAGTGACCATGAAATAATCAAAAAATATAAAATGAACGTTAGAAAACGTACATAGTACAGTGAGCAGCAGTGAGCATTGCTCTATTGTTCAGAATTGTTCCTCCACAAACTTGGAAGTGGCCTTCGTTGCCCCAGGAGAACAACAAGGACGCTATCTCAGGATAGTTATAGATGGTCGTAACTGAGCCTCCGACAATCCTCTCCGGGTTTCTCGGGACGGCTGAAAAAATATTTGGTAATATGATAAAATTATGCATTGCTAAAAACACCGGCTAAGTGCGTGTCGTGGCACGCGCAGTGTAGGATTCCGTAGTAATAGGATTAGCCTAGCCCCAAAGTAAGCACTGCAAGTCTTGTGTGATGGGAAACTAGGGTAACGGATAGAATACATATACTGTACATATATAAGTATATATATTAAAATCCAAGACTGGAGTACAAATGCTTGTATTCATCACACAAACATCGGCCTGTTATTTATTTTTTCAAATTAAAACTGAACTTTATTGACTGTGTCCTTTTCCAGACTTTTTATTAATTTATTGTAATTAATTATTTGCATGCAATTAAAAACTAATTTTAAACGATGCCAAAGAAGGATAACTTCTCACGCGCCTACATAAGTACACGCACCCATTTTTTTTCTCAAACATCACGGTTTGTCATGAATGTAATTTACTTTTTCGCCATTCGTTATCAAGAAAAAGACAACAATACAGCTCAGCTGTTTCAAATCAAATCATCTTTATTGCGAATATAGGTTACAAAGTTGTTACACAGATACATTTTAGTACAGTACAGCTATATTCTGCCTTATCGGCATGCAACATAATATTTCTATAAATCATTAATTATTTCAATGTTATATTAATTTTAACATAGTTTATTCAAAATGTCAATAAACAATAAATTTAAGATTGTAATTATTTCATGCATTTCATTTTTTCTATACTTAGTCAAAAACTTATATCTTCCAAAAATTCACGGACCGTATAGTAACATTTTTCTATTAAAAAGTATTGTAATTTGTTTTTAAATATTATACTTTTAGGTAATTTACTATAAATATAATGAGCATTGCAAAACAAACTTTTCCTAAGTTGTGCCGTTTTACAGGGGACTACACAAAGTTTTCCAATATGACGTTCACGAGTTCTGGCCTTAAATATTTTAATATTACTTTTTACAAAGACAGCGCATTCAAAAATGTAAAGGCACGGCAGAGTCAATATTTTTAATGCTCTGCTGCATCTCTTTTGCGCCCTGAATGCAGTGGTTGCGTCAGTAGAATTTCCCCAAAAGATCAATCCATATCGTAATGTCGGCGCTGCATTCCCATAATACGCTGTCAACAAAGTCGACTCATTAGCCACTTTCCGTAATTTATATAAAGCATAGGAAAACTGACTCAGCTTAGTACATACATACTTGTTTGTAGAGAGAGAAAAAGAAACGCAGTCGCCAAGCCAAGCGAACTCGCCGTTTTGCTCGCGCTGCGTTGAAGCATACAGTTCTGTCTCGCTCGCTCGATTGAATGTTTATTTACAGAAGTGTGCGCGGGTGAAATTTGCTTATGTAGTTGAGTCGGAGCATATTTTATTTGATGCTAGTATGACCTTACCGTATCTCCCGTTTTTGTTTTAATCTAAGTTCTTGATCGCTTTTATGTGTTCCCACATTCGGCAGGGTAGACCGATATGTCTGCCACTAACAGCTTACCCGCAATAACTTCAGTTACTCAGTTACTCCGTGATCATGGCGCTTGCAAAAATACCGATATATCGGAAACTCGCTAAAAACAAGGTACATGCTAACAATCCTGTAAATAACCTATATTACTATAATGTTAGTGACCATGAAATAATCAAAAAATATAAAATGAACGTTAGAAAACGTACATAGTACAGTGAGCAGCAGTGAGCATTGCTCTATTGTTCAGAATTGTTCCTCCACAAACTTGGAAGTGGCCTTCGTTGCCCCAGGAGAACAACAAGGACGCTATCTCAGGATAGTTATAGATGGTCGTAACTGAGCCTCCGACAATCCTCTCCGGGTTTCTCGGGACGGCTGAAAAAATATTTGGTAATATGATAAAATTATGCATTGCTAAAAACACCGGCTAAGTGCGTGTCGTGGCACGCGCAGTGTAGGATTCCGTAGTAATAGGATTAGCCTAGCCCCAAAGTAAGCACTGCAAGTCTTGTGTGATGGGAAACTAGGGTAACGGATAGAATACATATACTGTACATATATAAGTATATATATTAAAATCCAAGACTGGAGTACAAATGCTTGTATTCATCACACAAACATCGGCCTCCACCGGGATTTGAACCCGGGACCTCTCGAGTCGGCAACACAATGAAACCCGACGTACAAACCACTCGGCCACGGAGGTCGTCAAAAGGCTTTAAATAAATAATTTATATTATAAAAGAAATAATTGACAACATGATTAGATGAAGGTGGTATCATCATCAGCCTATGAATGCAACCACTGCTGGAGCACAGGCATTCCAATACACAATATATTTGAGCAGGAGTCTTTATTTTCTACACTTCTGGACACATCTATTGGCCCACCTTAGAGTTTAGGTTTCGATGGCCCCTACCGAAATATGATTGCTAGATTGAACAAAAACTGTTGATGCAGTTTTAAACCTGATACATTTTACCATCTTTTTCGATCGCATTGTTTTAAATTTGAATTCAGAATACCATACGACATGGAGCTACGCCTAACAAGTCGGATATGCGCCTTGTCAAAGGCAATTGATTTTTGAATAAAAAACATGTTTTATCAAATAAAGGTTTAATTTAATAACGCGTGTTGCCTCCATGGGCATCTACCACAGCTCTCATACGATTAGGCATAGAGTTTATCAACCGCTCTATGAAATTTTGAGGGATCATCTCCCATTCCTCTTCTATAGCAGTTTTCAACTCCTGCATCGTCTAGGCAACTGGCTGATGAGCCCTAACACGTCTTTTTAGCTCGTCCCACATGTGCTCAATGGGGTTCATGTCTGGGCTTCTGTCTGGCCAGTCCATAACTGTGATGTTCACATCCCGAAGATATTCCCTGACGATGCCGGACGCATGGGCTCTTGCATTATCATGCATAAAAAGGAAATTTGGGCCCACATAGTCCGCGTATGGTATCACGTGAGGTTCTAAGCACTCACGAATGTACCTTTCAGCATTTAATGTTGGCAGCCGTGGTCCTGTAACAACCTCAAGTTGAGTTTTGCCGCTCGCGAATATACCGCCCCAGACAGTCCATGGGCCACCGCCATAAGCAACCCTCTCTTCAAAGCAGCATTGTGCGAAACGCTCTCCCTTACGTCGATAGACCTTCTTCCTTCCATCATTGCCATGTAACACAATTTTAGACTCATCAGAAAAGAGTACACGGCTCCAATCTTGCTGTGTCCAATTTAAATGACTGCGTGCGAAATGAAGGCGCGCTGTTCGGTGGGCTCGCGTTAGTTTGGGCCCATTAGCTGGCTTGTGTGGTACCATATCGCGTTCTTTTAACCTTCTCCGAACAGTTCGAGCGCTCACAGATACTCCGTGGATGTCGCGAATTTGTTTTTGTATCTCAATGGAGGTAAGGTGACGATTTCTCAAGCTGGTCGTCACGATGAATCGATCCTGCCTTTCAGTTGTGACCCGAGATCGTGGCCTTCCTTGGCGACGAACAAAGCCGCCAGTCTCTAGGTACCTCCGATAAACATTTCGGACCGCAAATCGACTTAAATTAAGTTGAGCACTCACGTTTCTTTGGCTGTGTCCGGCCTGAATAAGTGCCACAGCTTGGGCGGCGACTTCAGGTGAAGTATCCATGGATTATTGATAGAACCTCACCTTAATGTTAAGAATAAGTAATGTTTGTTGCAAAACCAAAGATATCAATCACTTTTTCAAGAATTAAATCCAAGTAAACCAATAAAACCAAGTTTTCTTAGTATTCGATTGTTTGATATCAACAAACAGGCTCCAAATTGTCTTTTGTTTCTTTAAATTCTGTGTTCGAAATTAAAAAAAAAGACTATTGAATGAAATTGTGAATGTGCCAGGTTCAAAACTGCATAAAAACTTTTTGCTCGACCTAATATAAAATTTTAGCTAGGACTAAACGAAACTGAAAATACAAGGTGGGCCAATAGATGTGTCCAGAAGTGTATATCGATAATTGGAAAAACCAAATAATATCCATCTATATATCTTAACTAAAATACTGAATCAAAGGAAAACTAAGTCTCAAACCGAAACTCAATTCGATATATATTTTTTTAAATACGAAAGACAACCGCCGATTTGTATTTTGTTTTCTCCCAGGCGGAGGAGACAATCCTAGTCTCGATCTCGAACATTCTCAAAAATACTCGAAGCGGCGTCTTTGATAAATAAAAAGCCGAAATAGAAATAACAAAAAATGCGGCATAAACATCTCGACTTTACGATTTGAAGTTAGAGCCGAAAGTCGCTTGTTCACAATTATCACATCTTATCTCAGATAATAATATACATTAGGAATCTTTAAAATGTGTCCCCTCCACATTCGGTAATAAATCCACATTCGTTAATGACATTACTATTGACAATAAAGACAGGAATACTTTAGGCGACTTTAGATTATAAACACGATGTCTCTCAAAGTGAAACAAAAAAAACACATATTATATAATATGAAAGTATGACATTAATTTGTTTTGTAAACAAGTACTTACAGTTACCCACAGTATTGTGTTGACTGTGGTGTTTTTCCTGACCCCATGAAATACAGTAAAATAACTCCTCTGCCTAGAACGGGAAGTACATCAGGCCCCACAAACTTTAGACCAATTTCTGTATATTTAGTAAAATTTTCGAAAAAATCATAAAAGATCAAATGCAATCACATTTTATCTCTTATCTAATAGACAAGTCCGTCCGTCCGTCCGTGGTGCTGTTTCAGCGGCCAAACCGTAAGAGATAGATAAAGAGAATGTTTAAGTTATAAGTTAAGAATAGTCTGATAAGACTACAAACCGGATTTGAGTAACGTAGCACTTCCGGTTTTCGAGAAATCACGTGATTTCTATTTCAAACGAAACCACACAAAATCTCCGAAGTTCTCAATTAATTAAATATATTTTTTTTTTGGTGAACATTTGGTTCACTGGTTTGCTAGTTTAATATAATATACTCGCGCTTCACTGTAAACAATTTGGTTTCACACGACGTTCAACAATCTATGCCGGTGTTGAACTTATACAACAAATTTATGACGCCTGGGAGAACTCGCAGGACGCTCTAGGTGTGTTTCGACTTGTCTAAGCCTTTTGATTGCGTTTTTCATGAAACATTACTCAGGAAACTCCACCATTATTCAGAGATACCGATTTAGATCTTATTGAATCATACTAGAGGTATAGGATTCAGAGGGTTGACATTAATGGCCACAAGTCTCCGGGTTCGCCGGTTAAGATGGGTGTTCCGCAGAGCTCAGTCCTTGGTCCTTTTTTATTTTTAATTCATATTAATGACTTACCTTACTATGTAAGAGATAACCACGAGATAGTGTTGTTCGCGGATGATACATCATTTTTATTTAAACTCAAACGCAAGAAAACAGTTATTGACCACGTGAACAGTTGTGTCTCTAAGTCCACTGGTTCAATGTTAACAATTTATTACTTAATGAAGGAAAACGAAATGTATGAAATTTATATTAGCTAATGTAAAACAGGTAAAAACCAGTGTGAATGTAAAGGATAGCAATGTGGGCCTTGAAGACACCACAGTATTGTTAGGGATTACTTTAGATTCTAGAAATAGACTTAGCTCTGCATCATCTGCCGTAATGAAGATACGCCAGTTAACAGATATAGATACGGCCAGATTAGTGTACTTTAGTTACTTCCATAATATAATGTCGTACGGAATTTTATTGTGGGGAAACACCGCCGGCACTCAAACTATTTTTGTTCTGCAGAAGAGAGCTATTCGATCAATTCCTTTATTACTTGTAAGAAAAAACATTAATTTGTTTCATAAAAACAAAAAAATATAACCGACTACAAAATCGAAAATGGAACTAAAAGGTAAAAAATAATATCTGGTTCATGATTTGGAAGTCGGGCGGGTCAAGCTTGAAAGACGTATTATTACTGAGAAGAAACAAAAAACTATTTTCATACTACCTGCTCGACAATGTCCGATTATAAATCACGCAATCTCAACGTAAAGCAAGTCATTGACTCCCAAGGGAGATAATGTTGTATGAAACTCCCAAGGGATTAAAGTGATTTGAATTTGGAACGTTAAGATTTTTTGGTATGAAAACTCCTAATACATACGTATCTATCATAGAGTTTTTCAATAATTATATGGCATTGCAAAGAGAGTTTATTCTAAAATCGAACTGTTCACCTATAACAAAAGATAAACGCGATTGAAAAAATATAAAACAAAAGCCAGTGTTAGGTGCTATTTTCAGAAAGTAAAATAAGTACCTACGTTATTTTAACAGTTCCGTGTTTTAACATTCTCATGTGTCAAAATGTCGTCGAGCGATAGTGATTTGACACTTGAGCTTATTAAATTAGACGCTTCATATATGGATGGATAATTTATGGATTATTAACAATATCTTACCAGAAAAATCAAAAAATAAGTATGAAAAAGTGTATGAAGATTTGAACACATGGAAAGAAACAAAAAGAGTCAAGCCTATGTCCGAATCCATCCTTTTGGTCTATTTCCATTACTTAGGATCCATTCGGAAGCCAAGCAGCCTATCAGCATCCAGCATCAAACACAGTATACAAATCAACACATACAGCAGATTGTTGGCTTTTTTAAAGAAGAAATTGGAAGGTCATCGGGCAAAAAAGTCGAAAGTATTTACAACCCAAAATGTAGAAACTTTTCTGAATGAAGCTCCAGATCACATCTTCCTGGCCATGAAAGTGAGTACATATCTACATAATATGTAATGAATTTTTCACACTAATATTATAAATGTGAAAATTTTACAAATTTATTTTAAATACAATGTAAATTCTTATGTTTTCTTTTGTTATAGGTGGCCTTAATTTTTGGAGTGAATGGCGCTTGTCGTGAAAATGAACTTCTTAACATAAAAATCGAAGATATAGAAAAGCATTCAGATCAGTTATAGATAAGCTTCCCAGATACCAAAACAAAAAAGAGAACGGTCATTCGTAGTCTGTAGAGAGCAAGTTAGAATTGTCGAAAAGTATCAAGCTCTAAGCCCTTCTAACATTAACACTAACAGATTTTTCTTATCTTTTAATAATGGCAAATGTACCAGACAAGTCATTGGCAAAAATAAAATTGACGCCATTCCGAAGGAAATTGCTAAATACCTAAAATTGCCAAACGCAGAACTCTATAGAGGCCACTGTTTTAGGAGGACATCAGCTACTTTTTTGGCAGATTCAGGAGCGGATATAGCCCAGATAAAACGACACGAGTGCTGGAAATCCTATACAGCAGCGGAGGGCTACATTGAAAATTCAATACGTAATAACAATAGAATAAGTTGAATTAGAATAATCTACTATTAATGTTTCAATCTTGACCCCGCCCGTTTTCCAAATAATGAACTAAATATTATTTTATACTTTTTAGTTCCATTTTGGATTTTGAAGTAAGTTATATTTTTTGTTTAATTTTTTTATTATTTCATCCATTATAGTGAAAATTACATCATCAACAGCCTATCCTAATCCACTGCTGGACATAGGTCTCTCCAATTGCACGCCACTCAGATCGATCTTGGGCTACTCGCTTCCAGCTTCTGCCAGCCACCTTGCGCAAATCGTCACTCCATCGTGCCTGAGGACTTCCTACACTACGTATGCCTAGACGCGGTCCCCACTCCAGAACTCGTCTACCCCAACGGTTATTGGTTCATCGGCAAATATAGCCAGCCCACTGCCACTTCAACTTGCTAATCCGGTGGGCTATGTCGATAACTCTGATTCTCTGTCGGATTACCTCATTTCTGATGCTAACCTTAAGAGAAACGCTGAGCATAGCCCTTTCCATAGCGCGCTGAGCGACTTTGAACTTGTGGACTAGCCGTACCGTCAGTGTCCACGGCTCCGTGTGTCATCACAGAAAATTACATGGTCCAAGTAAACAATAATACAATTGACGGAGAAATCGGTGAACATGCATAAAAAACATCGTGCGTGTCTTTGAAATTTAAAGGTTTCCCTCGATTTCTCCGGATTCCATCATCAGATCCTGACTTAGTTCCAATGGGACCATCTCGGAAGTTCACTCTTTCGAATAAAAAAAGAATTTTGGAAATCGATCCACAATTGACGGAGAAATCGGTGAACATACATAAAAAAAAATACAGTCGACCATAGAACCTCCTCCATTTTTGAAGTCGGTTAAAAACAGTGATGTTCACACACCTAATACAAGAAACGAAAATAAACTATCTTTAGTTCACAAAATCAATAATTCATTTAAAGGTGTCTGTCTTCTCTTAAACAATCAAGTTCCAAGCAATATCCAAGAGTCAACCATAAATAAATTCAAAGTATAAAAAAGCACTTATTAAAAAGCTTATTACAAAGTGTCTGATTATATTATGGACAAAAATGCTTGGGTTTGAAGTTTTCTATAATAAATAAATTATGATTGTATTGACTTCGTAATAACATAATGATTTGTAAATGTTGTTACATTATACTTTTAATACTGTGGAGCTCTTTTTTCTCCGCAGCTAAAAAATATGTCCAGTATCGAGTGGTCGGGAATAAAAAATTTTTGGACGATTCAAAAGAGTTGTAATATACATCCAATTTGATAAAGATATATTGATTTCTGCTTTGTGAGAAGGTCAGCGAAATACTACACAATTTCGCTGATCACTTGAGGTCCTCTAAGGATCTCGCCGTCCCAAAACCCGGAGACGCTGTAAAGGTCATCTGCGTGCAACAGCATACACACTCAAAAAAAACTTCTTCGCTCAAACTATTTTTTTTTAATATTTACCTGTGACTGCCGTTAGGGCCAACACCAGAGCAAACAACACGGGCATGGTTAACACTGTTAAAATAATTGATAATTATTTCCGAATACCATGGTTAGTTGCTTTTATACTCGTAAGTAAACATAATCTTATCTAATTATAATCATTGCATGCAGTGCATTAGAAGGTACTTTTAACCCGATTGATTCCTGATATATCATATGCTTTGTATTCATACAAACATTACAATTTACGATGCAATAAGGTTAAATTTGCCTTAAATGAACAGTCACATGCTTTTATTTGGGACACAGTTACTTGAATTTATCTTTAAATAAAGAAAACTCACATCACATACGTTATAAGGTCGAGACGTCAGTACTTTTTATTCTTGTTGAAATTATTGGCACTAAACTTGGGCCTTTTTGCTTTTGAACACAAATTAATCTATTTTTTATTATAATCTCACCTTCATTGTGTTTGTTATCGAAATCTTACAAAACATCTTCACCTTTACATTATGTTTTTTGTGTTTATTTGGTAAATCTAAAACTAATAATTCGTTTTACCCCTAGGTGATAAGAGTGATCCTTTCCAGCCTTATTGTTTTTGGACTGTTTTTTTTTCATTTGACACACCTTTGACCTTACATTTTCACCCTTCTACTACCAACCCCGTATTTTTTTAACAGAACGAAATTTGCTAGGTCAGATAGTATATTACAAAGTATACAAACTGGTCGTGCTCTGTAGTGAAAATATCGGTCAAGTGCATGTGGTGCCACGCGCAGTATTGGGTTCCGTAGTTGGTCGTCGTTACCACATGTATTTCAGAAGGAGTGTTTATAGAAAGCCATTACTTCATCTAAGTAACTTTTAAATTTTGTAATACTTACAAAAGTTGAACGACTATTACTCTAAAAGAAACTGATCTACCTTAACCATTATAATGTTACTACAAAGTTAATGAAAAGCACTATTATCTTGAATTTTACCAGATATTTCAAGCCGATAGTTAAGATTTTAGAGGGCAATCGAACAGAAATTAGCAATTCAGAGTTGAATATTTATAATATTTAGGATCCCTTAATCGAAAAATAGTCTTAGCAACCCTGGAGTCATTTAAAAGGACCTATCCAAAGTAACCCCACAAGATTGGGTAGACGATGAAAAAGAAACACCACGTAACATGTAAGGGAAGCTACTCTATTTATTTTTACATTGAAAATGTTTTTTCGTCCGCTTCAGTAGGCCGCCATTTTCGCTGAAAGTGTGACTCGCCCGTGATACTCCTAGGTTTAGGGCCACGAGGACGTTTGAGAGCTGAAAAGACGCGGAATTTGAAGGGTTTTAAGATGATGTAAAAAAAATTGGAAAAGCTGATTTTGAAAAAAAATGTTTTTGGAAAAAAATATGACTTTTTTTTTGAATAATCTATAATAGGTAGATTTATTTTCAATGCCCTTGTAGAGCACGAGATCTCTGTTTTTTTTAAATTTTACTTTACCAATTTTTGGCATGATTGGTATGCATACCTCCAAGCTCTCTAGTGCCGATAGTCTCCAAGCAAAACCTAGGACGGACAGACAGACGGACATGGCGAAACTATGAGAAAAAATTGCAGTGGAATATTATTAAAATAATGTCTGTTTCAAGCCCGCTGTAAATACCTACATTGTATTGGCCAGCTATTGAACCCTAATCTTGGTAAAGACAATAATTACAAAATTACTAGATATAAACAATATAGGTATGTTTCTATAGTTGCATCACAGATACTGAAATTTTCTGCTGATATTTTGTTTGTTTATTTTTTTACTGATAATATTTACTACTTTAACTTCCTACCTATTATAATTGATAACAGTTTTCAATGTAGCAAGTAGCGTCAAAAGATTTTTATACTCGTACTTCAGATTAGATTGTTAAACGAACCTGTGATTCACTTGTTTTTCTAATTCATTATTAAAAACATTTCGTCATGAATGTACTGACGAACCGTCCGTCAGTTAAGCTTGATATCGTACATTATGCGGTAGATATAAGAAACTGTAACAAAAAAGGAAAACCCCAAAAATATTAAGGTCGTCCAGTAGATTTTACCTTAATTTATGAAACACAATACATAAGAACAGTGTAACTTACCCTTATGGGATTTGATTTGGTTCCTTTAATATTTATTCATGCAAATACGACTTTTAGAGATGAAAAAAGGCAAATTTCAAATTTCTATGGATTATGATCCTGTTAGCCGCCAAAAGAAGGATTCTGCGGAAGATCCTGGGGCCGCCGGCTGGCTCAAAGAGAGGATGGCAGCTGAAGAGTACGGACGGGCATTGAGCTAGAAAACCTAGTTTCCGAGCCTAACAAAATAGCAGAAATTTGCTGGCTCGGATATATAAAATAAATACTGGAGCGACGAAGTGCAGGAGTTTCTAGATGCCAACTAAATGGTGCAATCTTGTGTCAGAGGCCAAGATCCACCTAGGAGCGCCGCAGCAGTAAGTAATTTATTATAATTACTAGCGACCATCCGCGGCTTCATCCACGTTAACTTTCACTATATATCAATAAATTTTACCAATAGCATACTCAAATAGGCTTTGCCATAATACCAGCGCTGTTATGGTACACAGTCCCACTATGACAGCATCAAGCTGAGGCAGGGTAGGCATATCCTATGATATTCTTATCTTTTCTATTGCTTTATTTGTTATATACCGTTGTTGTTATTGTAAATATTTTTTTTATGTGTGTGGTCAATATAGACTTTATGTCATTTTTTGAAATTATATTAATTACAATCTAAAGGCTGATTTACGCCGGGGCAACACTATGCGTCATTGCGGCATGCCACAAGGCCACATATATAGGCCGAATATTACGTGCGACATTTTTGGTACAAAAAAACAGCGGGCTGGGTTCCAAACCTTCGTTCTGAATGCAACTTTTTACCCTGACGTTTATATTTTGACATAAACTGTATGTAACTTATGTCAAAGGCATTTGTTGTGTCGCCTGTCACCTGTAGCCTATGTTTAGAGCATAGCCCAGTTTTATAGGTTATGTTAATGCTAATGTTTTTAAGTGAGAAGATGCGTAGTGTCTCCTTAGTAGTCTGGGGTGAGAAGTAAATTATCGGTCATAGTGTGGTGTAACGAAAAATATTTAGCCTTCATTGAGGATACAATATTTCTATATTTTATACCACAGTTAATTATCTAGGTACGATGTTGCCTCGATGTAAAAGAGACTGCCGCATGTCGCAAGTGCCTTAAGATGTTTTTATTTGTAGCATGCCATCAGATGACCCATGCCACAATATGTAGCATGCGCTACATATTGTGGCATGGGTGGTTGGTTGTTGCCTCGCCGTCAGTAAGCCTTAAGCATCTTAAGCAATCGCTTATCTTCTTGTGACAAGCAATTGACCCGCTTAATGTGAAATAAGTAATTATCTGTAATTCTATTTACCTAACGAAAGGCTTAACTTGAACATATCATCTAAACTAAAAGAAAGACCATAACATTGGTCCTTTATTTAAAACTAGCTTTTAGCTAATGCTTTGCTCGCGTTAGATTCGATTTGGAGTGAATGAATGAATTTCAAACTCAGAAAATAAAGAAACTACAAAACTTTATAGACAATATTCTTCTGATTTTTTAAAACCTTGAAACAAGTATTTGCTTATTTAGTTAAAGGATTAACCGAATTTCGTGCATCGTACAAAACTGGAATCCCCGTTTTACCCCTTTAGGGGGTGAGTTTTGGAAAATCCTTTCTTAGCGCACGCCGGCAGCTATTGGCACGCTGGCTTGTTTCGTGTTTCATGGTCACAACATAACACTTACCTAACCTAGTTAGAACCCGAGAATCCAAAGATCCAAGAATATTTATAATAAGCCAACAATTCTTTTCGCAATCTTATTGAGGCGACTCGCGTTATCGCAAAAATCCTATGTTTTTTTCAGATAGATTGAGAAATGTCATGTCTTATTGTTTTCGCAAAATCCCTATGATTTTCGTGAAAATTTTATTTATCAAATCATCTTTCGACATATATTCAAATAATCAGGTAAGTCTAAATGTATCCTTCAATAGAATTTCATTTGTTAATGGTCAGTTTAAATAGAAGATACACAATCTCCCGAAAAAGATAAGCTTATTTGGGTTTTGCTTTTAACACTTAACAGTTTTATTATTTATACTTCTTTACTGCTGATAAAGCTAAAGAGTTTGTTTTATTTATTTGCTTGTTTGTTTGATTGAACGAATTAAGCTCACGAACTACTTGTTCGATTTGAAAACGCTTTTTTGTGTTTGATATTCCATTTATCTAGGAAGGCTATAGGCTATAATATAAATATAACATTGAAAAATGTTGCTAAAACACGGAAAAAAGATGTCTTCGACAGGCACTAAATGGCGCTAACCCCATCCACTTACGTACGACACGTGGTTATATTCCAACATCAACGCGAACGAAGTCGCAGGCACAGCTAGTCAAAATATAAATATATAGGCAGCTAAGCTTTAAGACTGATATATACTTATATACTAATATTTTTATGTATATAATTTTGGCGACATATTCCTTGCATGACCGCCAGAGTATAAGCTAGATTCCTAGCAAGTTATTGATATGGTAGGATCAACACGACATCTCACACAGGCCACCATCTCAATTGTGATACTCCTGGTGTTACAGATGTTTATATATATCGATAATCAATTAGGTATCATACTTTCAGGTGAGTCGTCTGCTCGTATGCCGCCTATAATAGGGATGATGACTAGCTATTTTTTCCTCGTGGATCAGATAAATTATCAAAAAGTATAAGACGTTTATTGAAGTGAAAACTTCTTTAGCACCGTTGTGATTTGACATTCGATGAAACGGAATAGAGTATTTGATACAAGATAGGTATCAGTAATTTCATAATGTACTATAAGAGACGGATAGCTGAATGGTAACGGTCTTGGGATCGACACCAACTGATTGGTGGTTCGATTCTGAGCTCGGTATTTTTTAAAATTTTTTTACATAAAGTTTTTTTTTTCTTTTATTA